CCTTTACAGCAACAAATTAAACGTGATAAAATTCTATTACGAGTAATTTATGAATTAATTACATATTAGTTTTGATTATATACATGACATAAGCAATACTAATGTCCATTATTAAGTTGATTACAAAATTGCTGATTGTTAATTAAATGTAACAATTTAATCCTGTAAATGTACGAGTTATATTAATTCTCGATACCAAGACTATTGTCTACATTATACTACAAAGCATTAAACCTACAAGGTTAGTCCTTGCGTTTCGTAATTGCTTTGGGAATTTCGTTTGTTTAACGCAAAATTAGTGTTAAACGAAGACATCAAACAGTTGTGGGTTTAGTGTCTGTAAACTTAGAGTCTGAGATCTCCTCCTTTAGAAATTTACGAAAAAATATGGCTGTCTACATTTGTGCCATAGACAAATAAATTTTAATACAACCGGAGAAGTATTTAGCGTGAATTGGCATGATTATTTACAACCGACTTCAAAAACGGAGGAGGTTCTCAATTCGCCTGTAATTTTTTTATGTTCATTACCTCAGCAATCGACTGAGTTAACAGATTTTGATGATTTTTTTTATTTGAAAGCTGGCGCTTCCCACGTGGTTCCATATTAATTTCATTGGTATTAGATCTTGGGCGCCGGAGATACGAAGGGAACAGCTGAAAATCAATTATAAAATAAAGAGAGAGAGATATTTAAAGTAGGTTTTGCTTTTCGGCAATAAAGAATTATCAAGAAACGTATCAAGGAAGCAATATCTTAGCCGTGAAATACAGATTATCAGATTCGGAACGTAGTTGTCCTTTTTAATCCAGTTGTCCTCACACAAATATCTCTTTGACACGTTAGCCTGCATCACTTCTTAAGGTGTTGAACTTGTTCGATTTAACGCATTGCCTTATTGTATCGGCGAACTTTAGTTATAAAAATGTCGTTAATATCGAACATTTCCAATATGGAAGCGACATTGGCTGCTTTTAATTGCGTGCAAAGCGAAAAATCCCGAGATAAGGCATTTAGTCGAAACATCTGCGCTGAGAGTGAGATGAATGCGAATGAAAAGATGAAATTAACACATAATGTACAAACATGGCGTCGTTCCAGTAAATTAGCACTCAATAGCGATGATTCACGGTATTACCTACCGCGCGGACAGTTTTCCTCTATCCTTTGTTTTCCGCGGGAGCGGTACATCCACAGCAAGTGCGGATATTGGAAATTGGGGTTGTATAGGAAATTGGCCGATCGATGGCTGCCAGCACTCAAGTGATTGTGCAGATTCATCGCGATAATGGAGGCGTGCAGTGTAGAAAGAATTTACGGGGCACCGAATTTACAAGACGGATAAAATAGTAATTTTACAGCCATGTGATCCGTCAAGCGAGTAATAAAGCCAGTACGAGCGACGTTAGGTCGTGCCCTATTTGGAAGAAAGACCGCTTGCAATTAGTAACCTTCTTACTTTAGGGCTAAGGTTAAGACTTGAGGTCGGTCGCTTAAGGCTTTGAAAGGATAATTAAACCAAATTTCGTCGAAGCTTATTTCTTGTACGAATTGTATGTACGGTTTGTTTTGGATGCTTCCTTCGAATCGAACTCAGGTTGCTCGAGTATTTTGAATTAAAGGCGAGCGCTCGGAAACTGAGCTATCACGGCTCTGGTAAAAAAGAAATATTGATTTTATTTAAATATGCTATATTTTTAAACTTTATTTATTATTCCGAGTAAAAAGCGATAAGAAAGAGATTAAATAGAAATAGACAACGACGAACGATGTGATGCAATGTTTATGCGTCGTAGATAAAAAAGAGCAAAATTAACAGCTGTAAATAAATAGAAAAGGATTTCAACTTTACATTTGTTCATTTATCGTTATTTTGTGTAATAATAAGGCTTTTGTTATGTAATTTTATAATAATTAAAACTGACTGTTGTATTAATCATTCGCTCTTAATGAATACAAAGATTACATAATGTTTCAATGAATATTTTGTATTAATATAAATCAATGACGACAATGCGTTGCTGAGTTCGTTTCGCATGTATTATTTTTATCAATTGTTTCTTTTGTTCCATACAATATGTGTTATTATTAATATAATATCTTATTAAATGATCGCCCATCAACTTCAGTAACAACATCTTCGAAGGCTACGTGGAAGTTAAAACTTAACGAACTTAGTTTACCTGTGGCCAAGAAAATAGTCAACAGAGAAGACCGGCGTGAAGTGGTAATGTCATACTTCTGCGATTCTTCTGTTGAGTGCGGTAGCTGGGGCGCTCCTTAAATGTGATAACGCAACTGCAACCCTACGGGTGTTGCAAATGTCAATGGACGGCGGTTATCACTTAAGATCAGGTGAACTGCCAGATCGCTTGGCACCTTCTCTAAAAAAAAAGACTATAATCTAGTTCTATAGTATAGTATACATGTACTTAATAGTTTATGGTATGCTTGTTTGCATTTAGTATATGTATGAAATATGTTTGTTGTTATTTTATCTTTTCAAAATAGAATTTTGGATTTTGTTTTGCACCTACGTCAAATTTTTCACTACTCCCAGGGTTGACTGGAAGAGAATGCTTATTAAGTTTGCCTTTTGTTTGGCCTTATTTTGGGGTGTAAACAATAAATTTTTAAATAAATAAATAAAAATAGTTTGAACAGGCGACACGGATAGGTGGGGGCTAGTTTGGGGAAGTAATAGCCTGAGAGGAGACTGATCTTAAGTAGAAGTATATGTGCTTTTTAATGATGGCTGGTGAGTGACGTGAACTCCACTCTTTATAAGGTTCGCAATGGAACTGCGCCATAAGGAGGTTGTATGTCCACTAGCGGCGGTAATCACTTGAAATCAGGTGAACCACTTGCTAGTTCGCTCTTACGTTTTCCTATAACAATGTAGGTAGGATACGTTAAAAAATTATGTTTATAATATAACTAGCGTTAAAATTTTGAAGAGAAATTCTTCTGTTTATTTTAGTCTCGTTTAACATCATCACAAACAAAGTGTGACTCTTATAAACGATTACTTCACGGACAGGCTATTTGTGAAGATAAAACCTTATCTATTACGTATGTAAAGAACTTGATTATTAAGCGCAGTAATAGTATTCAAATAATGGCGCTTCTCCATTATTTGTGTTGTTCGTTAACAATATCAAATAATTCCAGGAAAATGTTAGATGTCATATTTGAAGTTGAATTCTCTCTTCTTATTTAAAGTCATGTACAGACTTTGGAAACTGAGCGACCATAGCCACGGTGTTTTGACGAGCGTATAGGTTAGTTCGTTTTAGATATATTTAAAGACTATAGACAATAGATAACTACATACAGATAATGATGATACATATATGCACGTCTAGCCTAAGTTACCATGGCTTATTCGGTCATATCATTTTTAATTGTTACCAAACAAAATTAACGTCAAAAGTAAGTCAACAAAATAATATAAACGTTAATAAGATGAAGTTAAGTGAAGAAATTCTCTTGTTGCTCATCCATCATTAATACGTTATGACTAATAAAACCACGAAACAACCAAGATTAATGATCCTCGAATAAACAGTTTGGAAACTAAAATTAGATCGGAAAGCTTACAAATGAAGTTTGTAACTTCATTTAGAAGGAAATAGAATAAAAGGAACGGACGTGCAGCGACATATAAGCCGTACTTCAGCTCGTATTTACTCGGCTCGCAGAGTGAGTTTTTATTAGCCGATGCAATTATAAACATCAGGTTTTAGATTAATACTCATTTCTAGTCGTAATTATTTCTACATCAGATGCATAAAAATTGAACGCAATAGTTAGCATGGCAATGAGCTGCACTGTCGGCTCTTTTGTGTGTTGGAAATGCATGAATGTCTCTCGGTTTTTACTGAACTAATAATTATTTTTCGGAAATATAAGTGTTGTATTTGATTTATAACGCCACAATACACTAATGGACAAGCTAAGCCTTCACTTTGGCATTCAGAAGCGTGAGTAATAACCGCAAATTCAAAGTAGGACAGCATTACCAATTGTCTATACGCCTCTACATATGAGTTTGTATTACTGATATATAAAATTTTTAAACAAATATAATGTAATTAAAATATCTTGCTAGGCTTTTTTTTAATTCGAGGGAAAACTTTATTTCATCATGTTAAATTGTAAATTTTGTGTTTCATTATTGTTCCACCCAAAACATAACCTTTGCGTAGGATAGAAGGCAGGTCGACAGATGTACTGCTTTCAAAGTCGAATTCCAAAAATTAAAAAAAAATTGTGACTTTGCTGCAAGAGATGTAGAACTGTTACGGGAACTCTACCATGACTATATTTATTGTCTTATGCTACATCGGCAATGGTACATGATCATGAAAAGCATTGGATCAGTGGGCCATCCATAGAGTATCTTTGCCATTAGCGACTGTATTAAAAATGGATCGGCTCTACACTTGCTGCGTTTATCAAATTCATTGGCTCAATTGTTTCCTTCCGTTCAACGTTCATACTCTTCTTTTTTCCTCGACAACATTCTTTACGCGTTTGGTCATGTCATTCAGTCACATTCAGGCAATTTTTGTTACTATTTTAATGAAACTTAACCATATCTTCATTTTCTTTTGTTAACCGTGTTTTATTTAAATTTAATTAAACATAAAACTTTACTCCATTTTGTATGAGGATCATAAAACAATTAAGATATTTTTTTGTCTCAACTATTAAACCTTTTTTCATTTAATTACTAGGCAAAGGCAATTATCGTTTGTGTAGTACTTTTCGGCTTAATAAAACACCGATAAGTTAATGAGACTCAAATCACAATTTGATATGTCATTTCTGATATTAAATTACTATTGAACGACATCAAAATCAAGGCAATTGAGATTGACGAGAAAATACGGATAATAGTTTATTTTGCTTTAGATTAAAAAACTCTACCTCCTTTCTATTATTATTTTTAAATATCTTAGAGATGGATATTGATGATTAAAATAATAATACTTACAGCACTCGGATCATTACACCAGTGACCACCGCATCTGATGCACTCATCGCAAGATTCCATACTCATTTTACTCGAGCAATCATTTCCAAAAACGAAGTTTACAGTTATTAAAAGCGTACACACCAAAAACCACGCATTGGCCATTATTGAAATAAATACAAAAACAAAAACTGTAACGTCACTGTTGAAACGTCGTAATTTAAATATTTTACTTTTTTCCTTTACTTCTATTATTTATGATTCGCAATGTCTTCGTACGGATGTTCGAATGTTCGAAATACGAATTACGCGCGAACGCATACGCGTCTCGACACAGACTGTAGACGTAAACGACCCTACTCGCTTGACTTGATCTGATGGCCCGCGATGAATCATCATATACTCGGTGGAAAATTCGCGGAAATCACATTTTAGATGAAGTTCGTGACACTCATAGTTCGGATATATATTACGAATTTTTGATATTATGGTAAAAAAATTTGTTTGTTGCTTTTTTTTACTTATTACAGTTCTTACTTCGTTTTGACGTTTATTACGGTCTACATTATTTGTAAATAATGTTATTATCTGTTTATAATTTTAGTTGTAAAAGTATACACATTTTGAAGTTTTAGATCAAGGATATTTGAGAAAAAGTTAAATTAATAATAAATTTTATACTTTGATGCTAGTAGTATTTAAAACTTAAAACATTAAAAAATTTCATCTGATGTGATTTTTAATTCCAACATTGTTAATTTACAAAAAATCTTTGAAAATGATTTTAGCAGTTATAACGGTTACCTTTAATAACTTTTTGGCGTTAGGGTCACCAACAAATATTTAAGCAGAAGACCCAAAGATTTTGTCCGACAGCTAGTTAAAAAACTTATAAAAGTTTTTGAAGAAATTTTTCGTAATTTATAAATTTTTCGACATTAGCGCGAAACGTCATCATCAAAATGCTATTTTATGCATAATTTTTTTTTCATTTTAAAGTGTTAATGAATAGATAGCGGGTCAAATTTTAGCAGGCTACCGCTAATTCGATATAGCAAACAAAAACAATTTTGCCAAATACCGTACCAACAAAATAACCCATAAGAATAATATAATATGTTGGAGTAATAATAAATAAAAAATAAAATAATAAACCTTTTTATTTCATGCAATTGAAACGTTATTTAACATTGAGTGAGTAATAAGTATTTTTTTTTAAATACAAAGTCTAAGAGAAAAGTTTTTAACAATCTATAGATTAAAGACTTCTATTGCATGAACCCTCTTTAGGTGAAGGCCTCCTCCAACAATTTCCACTTGTCTCTGCATTTAGCAGTTTTTCTCCGATGTGGTCCCGCTACCTTCTTTATATCATCTTCCCATCGTGTATATGGTCTGCCTATGCGTCTTTTTCCTTGGGGTCCACGAGGTTACTGTGGATGTCCATCTGTCGTCGTCTAAGCGTGCTATATGGCCAGCCCATCTAAATTTTTGTTTTTGAGCATATTTTAGTGTATCTATAGCTTTAGTTACTTTCCTGATTTTGGTATGCCGGATTTTTTGCATTTTCTTTATTTTTACATGCTACGTTCCATACTTCTCTGACAAGTCGTTATTTTGTTTTTTACTTTTTTTTGTAAATTTCCACGACTGGCACGCGTATGTTAAGCAAGGAAGAATACATGAGTCCATTACTTTCTTTTTTAGCGATATAGGCATATCTGTTTTTAATATATCTTTAAGTGCCCAGAATTTATTCCAAGTTATTTTTGATCTCCGTTCTACTTCTATGTAATTTTTATTACTTTCAAAGCTGATTTGTTTTCCAAGGTACATATAATTTTTCACGTATTCTAGCGCTTCATTGCCAATCGTTATACTTTTTCTTGCATTGTTTGTCATGATTTTCGATTTTGTCAGGTTTATTTCTAAGCCCGATTTTCTGCTGCCTGTGTAGACAGTATTTATTTTATTTATGAATTGTAATTCCTCACTTGTTTCAGATAGTAGGACAAGATCGTCAGCGAATCTAAGATGGTTCAGGTGTCTGCCTTTTATATTTAAACCACATGACTTCCATCTTAGTTTGCCGACGACACATTCCAAAACCGAAATGAATAATTTTGGCGATAATGGATCGCCTTGTCTCACTCCTCTAGATATGGGAAAGATTGTACCAGTTGTCTCTAATTTAACTCTACTTGTGCTTTTACTATAAATATATTTGATTACTCGTATATACTGTTCCTCTATTCCTTGTTCTTTTAGTGCTTCCCAGATGTTTGCGTGTACAAAAATAATATACACACCGGTATAATTAGCGGAACGTTAAAAAAACAGGGTGTAGAAATAATAACGTGTATATTAAAACTAATAAAGATCAGACATGAAGTAACAAATGATAAAAATCTTTTAACGTCCACTTTAAGAAGTTTTTAATTAAATATTATTAAAAATAATCAAAATAAATAGAAAAAAACACTTATTTTTATTTTGCGGGAACACAATGTTGTAAATTAAGGATTTACTAAGATTACATCTTTAATATATGAAAGACTACTAACGTGTTATTATCTACAGGGAGTATATGTATATATAACAGTGTGTTTCCCCCTCCTTCTAACTTACGTTTCCATCCTATGGGCATGCTGCAAATTATGTTATTGATTGTATCTTGGGAAAAGCTCTGCCACTCTTGAAGTAATGCGTTTAACACTGTTCGCTAACAAGTCCCAAACAAGCTCGATAGGAGTCATATCCGGGAATCTTGCTGGCATCTCTGTTATAACCACTACATCACTGTTATACCCACATGGTTTAGGTATGCTTGGATTGAGCGACAACTGTGAGCCCGAGCATTATCCTGCATCAGAGTAAAGCCGTCCTCATTATAGGGACAAATGGTACAACGCGTTCTTCTAAAAATATCCCAGATGGACCTATCAGTAGTCATAAATTTTAAAAAAAGCTCGCTGAGTTTCTTTCGCCGGTTCTTCTCAGTACAGTGGCTTTCTTATCCGAACCGGTGTGGTAGAATTTTCACTATTAATAAGTGTGTGTAATGCTCCTATGTTGAATAAAGATATTTGAATTTGAGTTTGACATATTCCCTCTATCAATCATCACTAGATCCGTACCAGTTCCGAAAGTTATACCTCCCCACACCATAACAGAGCCGCCCACATATGCCATAGCATTTTCAAAATTAGTCTGAATGTATCGTTCTCGTTTACATCGCCATATTCTCGGCCTTCCATCGATTTGATTTAAGAACACTCTACACCCACCAGTATAACGTACCCATTGGGCGCCACTTTGTCGGTTTTAACAGTGGTCCACTCAACAGTATTTACTGGTAACAGTAAAGCGAACATCACTTGACATCACTTAACATCAGGTGAACCGCCAGTTCCCTTGCCACCTTCTCATATAAAAACATTGCAAAAGATGGTATCTCTCAAGTTTTGGAGACTTGACTGGTACATATGAACCTATGCCCACTTCACCAAATCTTCGGCGAACTGTACGCTCATTATTATCACTTCTCTCACGGCTCATTTCGGGCCTGCACAGCCGTGTTCTTCCAAACTTGAAGTTTCAGAAAACGTTGCAAGCCTTGGCCCCTCCTCCTTACAAGAAAATCAGTCAACTACTTCTTTTCAACTAAGGTGGTTACTGTTTGCATTTAAAAAAAAATCAATTTTACTAATAAAATTAAGAATTTGACGAATTTATAAAACTTTAACAATTTCTTCTCAGACCGACCTTGAACCACTAACAATTCAGTATTACTGGAAAAAAGAAATAAATCGAAGAAAAAGATGACTGTCGCTGTATGTTCTATTTTTAAATTGTTCTAAATAAAAAGTAGGTCAGTCTTTTAGGAAATATTACGGAAAATAATCTTTTATTTGTGTTCCGTTAATTATGCTGGTGTGTGTATAATGTTGCAGATGATAATGATTTAATCAAAGAAGAAGATGATGATAATGATATGGAACTCCTAGGAAATGTTACGAATTTGTCGGTTTTATTATTACAATAGAATATGTACGTTTATGAAAGTCAACACTTAAGGTTTTTGGGTAACGGTGGCAATATTATTCGACTGAGATTCAAATTTTATGGAAATTCTTGGCTCCTCGGCAAAGGTATAGCCCAAACTGTTGTTTAGGATTTTGTACTTATAAACTCTTAAACTTCTAAAAATATCAGTAGATACCACCATAGCCTCACATCGTACTAACACACATAAACTATTAGTTCGTTATCGCCCATGTGCAAGACTGAACCAAAAAATGGTGTACATAAGGTACACCTGCAGTTACTCATTTAGAGTATGTAAAAGAAAAGATTAATCGAAATGATTTATATATTAAATTTGTATACGCTTATTGACTTTTAATTGTTTTTATAGAAAAGAAGTATTTCTCTTACGCAAAAAGGAGAGTCGAGGTATCTACTGCAGTTGTGTTGAGGGTTATTCGCCCTCTTGATTCGAAGAATCGATTTTGCGTATGCACTTCGTTTATTCGGGGTCCAATAGGCCGACCTCCACGCTTAGGGGGCTTGGTCGGTCGCGCCAGTCGGACCGTTAACCTACCAAATTCCACCATTACAGAGACGCTACTAGCTCGTAAAACCAACGTTAGCAGTAGCAATCCTAGTAATGATAGCGTGGTGTTTCGAGTTCAGATGGCAATGTTTCAGCCATGACCTTATTTGTCAAAGGCGTCTTTTCGTCGGCTGGAATCGAACTAGAGACGCCCCGCAGTGACACCAGTGTTGAACGACCGAGGGCCGTCCGAGAATCATCGTAATAACTCAGTCTGGCAGTATTGTTTTGCACGTAAGATAGAATTTCTAACAGCTTCTATCCGCGGAACTGTCGTACTGAGTAGAAACGGACCCTCGACAGTACTCCGGAGCTATTTCTATTTATACTAGCTAGGATGAAAACTTCGCTAGCGTGTTTCAGAATTTACACTTTTATATCGGTAACCAAGTGATATGACATCGATTTCTTCGACTGTACGGGTAGAATAAAATCTTCATACCATTTTATAATATTTTTTACAAAAATTTACGTCAGGAATACCATTTTATTTAAAGTTAACAAATTATTGCCTAGACAAGGATAGCGCCATCTTTTGTTATGTTAACCGACTTGCATAATATAGGAATATTTCTATAAAATAAAACGAGGAAGAAAATAAATCGTCGTTTAATAATTGAGCAATTTTATGTATGCGTATATTGAGCTTTCTTTTTATTTCCTATAAATACAATAGACGTTAGACAAAAGGTACGTGTAAATTCTGTTTACTTATGGAGTTAATTTAAAATTTGCATAAAATGAATAAGACATACTTACACCACACTAATCTTTTATTCATTTACTTATACGCTTCTGTGTCTTGGCGATAAAATTTAGAGAATAACCATGAACTAGTGTCAAATTTTTGCAAGTGAATTTGAATTTTAATCGACTGGCTGGCTGGCTAGAAAAATTAAAAAGGAAAAACAAAATCATTGCATCGTGCTTCCTGTACACATAAACATTCAAATAATTTAACAATTGAAGTGTTACTTGTGATTAAAATGCCAAAAATATGTCTTAAACACTAGCGGACGTTAAAAGAACTTTAAGAGCGAATGCATCAGTCCATTTCGTTGCAAGGGTCATAAAGGAAACCAGGAAAAATCATGCGATTTCCGGCAGATGGCGGAAAAACTATCTTGCAGCGGCGATGTAACAAATATTGCAATGCTATTATAGTTTATTGAAGACTATTAAACTAAAAATCGAAACACGGTGGCTAATGCTAGTCATTTAAGGAGTTTACAAGGATTAACTCATCATTTAATCATTTAGATTCCATCAGGTAAGTATCCTTTTATGATAAACTTTTGCGATTTGAAAACTAAGAAATTGCAACTCTATACATTTTCAAACCATAATACTTAATTATTTCAATTCAAAAGGCAATAGTAAACCCTACAATTGCATCATTATTATATATAAAATAAAAGATCTACTCTGTCTTATCTTAAAATTCAAATATTTTCAAATCCTCACTTAGTAGGAAGTGATGATTTAGGCGGTAAACTACTACAGGTGCCCTAATACTCTTTCGTTGTGCCTCAATTGTCCAGAGACTCTTCTCCAGGCACGATGCCTCCTCGTCGCACCAATCTTCACGTACGCTTCTACAGATGCAACGGCTCTCTCGTTATTCCATCAATCTTCTGCGTACGTGACGCTCTCTCGCTATCGCACCAATCATCTACGTACGCCTTTTCACTTCTTTTCACTTGCACTACACTTCACTCTTCCTTTTCCTTCTTCTTAGAGTTCCCCCACTGAACTGTTTAGCGCGCTCCGGGCCCTTTTTACTATAATTACATTTACAATTACATAATACATCAGGAGTATATAAATGACATGACAATCTGAAATCACTAATCTTCTCGCAAACCAATATACTAACATGTCGGATACAGTTGTTCCAGCATAATAGTTCCTTACATCCTATTCCTCGATATAAAACGAATATTGGTAAACACATTCCTATTACCAGAATACGCATTGAATACAACGAAATGTATAGAGAATTATCAGTCGTCCACGTTTTTAATAATTTTCCACAATTCAAAAGTAAAATACGCGAGTATTTGATTAAAGACTCGCGCAGTAAGTGAATTGGGAATTTTATTGGGGGCATTAGAAAGTTAGTAATTTAGATTGTATTTTAGTTTATAGTTTATATCTCTTTAATTGTTAATGTCATATATCAAAAAAAAATTAAAACATAAAAAAATTATTTTTTGTTTCAATTGTTTTGCTTGCTTATTTTTATTCTTGGAATACGTAACATAATTAAGGTGGCAGTCGATGTTAACTGTTGTATACATCTGTAATTGGTCCTCATCTCTAACGAAATCTTTTACATAACAATAAAATATATGCTCCTGTTTTAAGAATTATGTATTATATTTATATATAAAACTTTATTCAGTGCCGGATTAAGCCCCGCGCCACAGGGGCCCCCGCCTATTTAAACCCACTCATTTCTGCCTGAGCCTTATTTTTTTAATTGAAACTTATAAAATAAGTATATAAGAGTATTCAATTGTTTTTTACCACTTTATACTTAAGAACCCATAGCAGATTAAGGGCTGTTTGAAAGAAATCGCTACGGGCCCCGCACTTTCTTAATCCGGCACTGGTTTTATTGCGTAACGAACCAAAACCTATGGCATATCTAATTATGTACAGATCTTTTTCTGAACGCGGGGTTGGAGAACATCATTGTCGACGGCTTGAAGCCAGGGTTGCATCGGGTCTCTGACATGTCTTCGTCGCGCTGTTTCTGGAATCGTTCGTATTCGTGACGATCCCTCGCATCCGTCACCAGTTTCCAAGCGACCAACGTGGCGACACCGATGAGGATAAGCGCGAGTAAGAACAGGCCACCAAACACTGAAACATACAGATTTCACTTTTTTTTAAACCAAAAATTCGTTTGAAATTCAGAAAAAAGTTACAACCGGTTTGCCTGACGGAGAGTGAGCACCGCCACTTACGGACATCAAGGTTAAAGATGAACGGTCTGTTGTTAATTTACAATCTAAGTTAAAAACTACGTCAAATTTTTACTACTCCCGGTGTTGACTGGAAGAGGTATGCTCCAACATCCAATAATTTCTGTTTGTAACAAAAGTTTTACTAAATTAAAGTCAAATAAAATTTAAATCTAAAAGGTATAAAGGTATAAAGTAAGAAGCGTATGCCCAAAGGTGGGTGAACACACGCTGAAGAAGAAAACAATTTAAATCAATGACCTGTTTTTTGATCGTCAATTGGGGCGATTTACTAACGTAATTTATATATGAAAAATGTACATTATTTCCAAAAATCCATCTGAATAAACACTCACTGTAATAACTCTCCGCGCAGTCGTTGTCGGTCTGTACGACCAGTTGCAGGCTGTAATTATCGTCGTCGTATCTGTATGCGAAACGCGAGTAGCATATGCCGTTGGTTTTAAACAGACAGAGGTTCCACGGCGCGACCGTCACGTTGACATCGCTCAGTGTCTTTGTGACGTTGACGTCGACATCGGAATGACATTGTGAGCAGTTCCCGTTGCCCGAATGGTGGCATTGTGCGCAGCTGAGCAGCAGCTCGCACTGGCGGCTGTGGCAGTCGGGATTGTGCATCACCCTGCAGAATTTGTCCTGGTAGTATCTCGCGTCCCATTGGGCGATCGGAGCGCATCTGCACGAACCGCAATTGCACTTGCCCCGGTTGTTGCACAACTGAAAATTTCACTTTGATTACTTGCATTTACATCGTCTTAACATATACGAGTATAAATGCGAAACCTTGTGTACAATTATGTTGGCTGCTTATTGGCCTGCAACAGCTGAACATATTTAAATGAAATTTGGACTAGTGATAGCTTATTGATTGGAGTTTTATTAGGTGCGTAGCTAGCGGAGTCATAGTTTCCCCATTATAGAATTCTCTACTACCAGAAACATTGCAGAAGCGACGAGGGACTTTTAACAGCAATAGTCTTTTGTCTTGAAGGATTCTGGGCTGTACTGTTACGAACTACCTGTCGACAATTAATTCCACAAATTTTAAAAATTGACAAAGCGCATATTTGTATTTTGTCTCTTACACTCAAATTTTTTAAGACTAAAACCTTTTAAAAAGCACCGCAGGGTTGGAGCCTCAAGTACAAGGTAATACAATTATAAGGACCATTCCTTATTGTTTTTATGTATTTGGCGACAAGTCAATCAAAAACTATTAAAATAGCATATATACCTACTTCAAATGAATTTTGTAGTACTAGATTAGTTTTTTTTATTCCTCATACCTTTTTCCGTAGAGTGTGAGGATGTTTTATATTACTTATTAAAGGACCTCGTTGTTGTACTCTGATTGCACCAACGGGAAATATTTAATATATAAAATTCCATATTTTAAAGCTTTGTTTAATTTTTGAATTTCAAAATAATAATATGAATTTGTGGAATGTTAAACTTGGAATCTTAAATACCGTACTAGTAACTCCATGGTTGTTAATTATATTACTTATATAATAAAGTGACAATTTAATCTCATAAATATTTAGTGTACAGAACTAATGTTTACAAAGTGCCTTCAATATACGTCGATAGAGGCCGCAGCCGCAAAGTTCTTAGTACTGCGATGGAAAGAGGTTGGCGGATTTCTGTCTCATTTGCCATCTTGGATGTATTGTTTATTTGGGCTTCTAGCAATCTCCATTGTGCCGGACGTTTTGTTCGGACGTAACGATTGTCAAGATCCAAAGGAAGCCCACTGATCGCCTTTCCACTTTGTCCAAGTTGACGAAAGGAGTTGCTTCCCATGCCGAGCATGATAGACCATGCACGGTGCCTAGAAGCCATCGCATGTGGCATCCGATCTCTTGATTCGAATGTAAGGATCACAACAACGAAAAATCTGCCGCCACTTTACTCCTATCGAAGTGGTTAGAGGAACTTATTTCTTACTTTGCCGTCTACGATGCACGGCGTGGTTGGCTTGTAGCAATCGCACGCGTCACCGGACCAGTCGGCCGACGTGCACGTGCAGACCCCACAGACGCAGTTCCCGTGGCCGTTGCACGTGGCGCCACTGGCGTCTCTTGGGCAGCTGTCCTGGTCGCACTCACAAAAGCGGCCATTGCGGCTTGGATATAAGGAAATCGATGCAAATATAAGCGAAAACAAGTCCATTTTTTTATTAACGAAAAACAAAAAAACCCGACTTCAAATATTTCGCTGTGTATTAATTTCATAATTGATTTTTAGGAATTCCATAAGTATCTGCGGAACCCTAAATCCAATAGCAACGAAATTAATATGGGACCACATGGGAAGACCCAGATTTCAAATAAAAAAAGAATCATCAGAAATTGGTTCACTCAGTCGAAAGTTCTGAGGTGGTCAGTCGAATTGAGAACCTTCTCCTTTTTGAAGTGGTTGAAAAGAACAAATAGTTGAGACAATTACAGGCTGTGAAAAACATGTAGCCGGTGGACAGTCGAAGGTGTTTTCCCTTGTCTTGTTTCTTATGCTCAAGTGTCACGTAACGTATGTAGTAGCAAATCCAAAATCCATAAAGTATCATGTATTTACGAATAGAACATGACTTGTAAATAATGATATTTATTGTACAAAAAAAATTGAGCAAGAAAATGATAAGTAATTACGTTACTTTCAATATTATTTAAAAAGAAAATTATTTTTTTTTGCTGCAATTGATTGGAGGGCAAAGAAGTTTTTACTTTTTTTATGCGAAGAGTTGTCAAGTGACCACCTGATTTTAAAATGAAAACTGCCACCCATAGACCCCTGCAACACCCGATTTCTTGCTGATGCGTCGACAACCTTTAAAAAAGTGGGCCCCGGTTACCTCACTCACCAGAAGAAACGCGTAAGTTTAATACTTCAACACGCTGATATCCTTTGAGGCCGTGATAGTTGAGAAGGTAGGAACATACATACAGCCATCAATTTTTATTTGTGCATATAAATAAAATAACACAATTACCAGTAAGACTGTGTTTCAATCATGAAACGAGAGAACTGTATGTTACTGAGAAAAAAAAACTGCGATATTTGACTATTTGCTTTGTGGTTGTGTTAATAAGCATGGGCAATTACCGCTGATTGCAATTGCAGCTGCCACAATGACATAGGCCATGGCCGCTGCAAACTTTGTCGTCGCCAGGCGCAGTGCAAGAATTGGTGTTATTGACTGTGTTTCTGCTCGTGGCTGTGCATTCACACTTTGCGCCGTATCTGAAGTCACCATGTAAACATAAGTAATTTAATATTTTATTATTACTCAGGGACGGTCTTTATATATGACCAGGCAAACGTTTATTTGTAGGGTAGAAAAAAAATTGTTATAAATCTATTCTCATACCTACTAAATAAACATAAAATATCATCAAATACGGTCAAGCCGTTTCAGAGTAGTATACATTAGTAAACATTAGAAATGTTAAACAATAATTTTATAAATTAGATAATGACGAGTCGGATATAATATAAATTTTATATTTCTTATTAGCTGCTATATCGTTGGCCGCAGTTAAAGAAATAACCAAACTATTTCGTAAAAAAAACTGATTAGTACACAATAGCTTTCATCTTAAACAATGGTTCCAATTTTATTATAAATAATGATTTTACTTTCCTGGTTTCTACAATCAAAAATTTAACTACAAGAAAAATGAGATAGTATCAACTTAAAAAGAAAATAAGTTAGTATCAGCTTAAGAAGATAAAAAGATTAAATATTCAGGTTATTTTATTACAGGGCGAATCAATAAAGAACCTTTTTCCTTCAGCACTTGGTGGTAGCAAACTTACTCGTGTAGTGACAAGCTATTATTTTAAGGCACATTGAAAAACTTGAATGAAAATTGAAAAACTGACGCCGGGAAAATGATTTGCTTTTTCCTTACTCATTATAAGCCATGAAGCAAATGCGCGATGAAACGAAAGCTTTATGTTCGAGCGTGAGTGTCCTTCTTCCTAGTCAACCTTCTTAGTGAAAATGGAAATTAGGCATGTATATTTTAGATAAAAAAAGGTTCCTTACCTGCCAGGGCTGCACTCGCATATACCACATCTCCGATTACCGAATGAATTGCATTCTTCGGATTTGATATCGGTTTCACAGTTGCATCTTTTAATGACGTCTATGTCAAGAGTCAAATTTTCTTTTATACCTCCAATCATGACATCAACTAAAAAATTGTCCTTTTCTACATCGCACAATAACTTAATCGATCCTACAAAATTCATCTCTTGTCCCTTGTGTACAATACAACTATCGCTGGTATTTACGAAACAATCTGGCTCAAATTTAACTTCAATATTCTTACGATACTCTGACTTTATGTCGAATTTAATTCTTTGTGTTATTTTCTGCAAGATAAAAAAGACGCTACTTAAGAAAAATACAAAATAGAACCGAATTTTGAGGCCACAGGACCTTTTTTTTTGGTAAATAAAAATATGTATAATATAATAAAAGGAATTAAAATTAAAAATAAACGCGATAAATCCGTAAAAATTAGTTTCATTTAGAAGCGAGAAAATTAAAATATATAAATTACCTCGTAAATAGTCTTTAAAATTTTAGCCATATCATCACTATCATATGTGGTGCTCCATGAGTCCCGCACGGAGTTACTTAGTTTTTTGTAAACATTTTGTATGCCCTGTTTCACTGCAAATACTATTATCATTTGTTCGTCTTTTGCTAATTTGCTTATGATGCCGGCGGATGGGTAATCCATATTGATTTCATTTAAATAAACACCGTTCCTTGTGTAGCATTTTCCGTCGTAAGGTCTTGTGATCCCTCCCTGTATTCCATCGCCAGCCGCGTGGTATGAGCCATCTGTGAGTAGGACAATAATTTTTCTGGACTGTTCTCTCCATCCTATTTCTTCTTTACACGTCATCACTTGTCCCAGGGCGTCTAAGCCTCCCTCCGGCTCATCGAAGCTTTGCCCCGCGGGCGCGTCTTTTAAAATTGTTTTAAACGTCTCAAAGTCTTCGGTCAAATTAAGTCGATGTATAAAAGAATATGAACGCTCACTGTCAATGATTCTGGAAAAAGGTATCACTTAGCTAGTAATGATATGTTTTATAGATTATTTACAAAACTCAAAAGATCGTTATTACTCACGAACTGAATGGTATTGCATTTTTGTCTACAAAAGTACCAAGACCCAAAAAAACGTTACTAGTAAGATTGCTCAACGTGAAATAAATGCTTTCACTTTGATCTGCCGTCCATGTTCTAATATCTTGCATTGATAAGGAAGCATCGACTAAGAAATATATATCGACAGGATAATTCTTGGCGGCTTCATAGGAAAAATTAAAATCGATTTTTTGTCCAATCCTCAGCTGAATCTTATATCGCTGCGGCTTAATTTGCACAGACTTGCCTAAGTCGGAGCTGAAAGACCTGTCGTCAGTTTTATTTATAGAGCTGGTTGGATTAATTCGATGGTTTGGGCACCAACTCTTCTCGTAAATTGATTTGCATCGAAAATCATCGATATTATCCTGCGGCCAAAATATTTAGCATTAGCAATGACATTATATACAAATACGAGGCAAATTGAGGCACTCATATTACGCCGATTGGTGTAATTTAATTGCAATTCTATGGACTGCTATCTCTTTCCATATCATATGTTCTATATCATATGATATATATATATATATATATATATATATATATATATATATATATCATATAACGTAAAGCGGAACAACTTTTAAAAGCCACGCAGTACAGATATGCGTCATCTTTATCAAAACTTTAAGCAGAGTAACTTTTTAATACTAATTAAAGAGTTAGTATTAGCATATAAAAATTTTACCTTTGCACACCAAATACAATTATTTGGATCACTGATACATTGGTCACATTTCTTGTGATTTTCACATGGGTCCAATCCAAAAGTAAATGAATAACAGCACCATATTAAGAAACCTACTGCTTTAAAATACATGTTAAATGCTTCGCAGCCACGTCTAAAATGGGATAATGTTCAGGAAAACCAAACAATGAACTCTATTCGCATAAGGCAAATTAATGTTTCGAATGTGCTACAAGTATTAATTATTTACAGTTTTAAGGAACTTAGAAAATACCTACTATTTGTATTTAAACATCATAGGTATCATGATATTAAGGAATTTGATATGATTTGAAAAATCGGCCATTGACAGTAATCAATCAAAATCAAAAGGTAAAAATTGCTTCATAACAACATAGTATAAAACAAAGTCGTTCCGCAGTCTGTCTGTCCCTATATATGCTTAGATCTTTAAAACTACGCAACGGATCTTGATGCGGTTTTTTTACTAGATAGAGTGATTCAAGAGGAAGGTTTATATGTATAATACATTGCACCCGAACGAAGTCGGGGCGGGTCGCTAGTCTTAAATATTCTTATCAAATATATAAGTATACGTATTATATAAACAATTAAAAAATTATTCTATCTATAAAAAAATTCTAGGAAATTTAAGTAATTTCATAAAAGAATTTTTATCTTAAAAGTATCTTAAATAGCAAGTGACATAAACTATCTCCATAAAACATGTACAATTTTTAAAAATCAAATTAAATTTGCTGTTTATCAATAATTTTCTTAACTGTTACTTTATTATAATGGCTTATTTTCGATTAAGATTATGGGTTTAACTTTGAATTTAACATACGTGAGAGTTTGTTATATTGCTTATGATGCGACAGAAACCAACAACCTCTTTATTGTAACTCAATGATACATATTTTGTAATATTATTGCAATGATCTATTGATTGCAATATAACATGTAATTTTACATTCCTGTGACATAACTGGTAATGGTGAATAAACATTATATTTCTGCAAGCACTAAATTCCATTGATTGCTACTTCCACAAAACTTTAGTGGCTAGGGTTTTTAATTGAACTCGTGTACAATATATAAGATAACAAAAACATACAGTAACCAAGTAAGGTGCTCTTGAAAATTGTCAAGTTGATTCTTTGAATTAATCTTATCTTCAATTGAACACCAAGAGAACTGTCCCGGATTCACAACTATTTCGAAATGGTGATTATTTTGATAATCGTACAATTTTGATAATTTTTTACGATTTAGGCTGTAATCCTATTAAAATTGAAAATGCTGAGGACGACCTAATTGGCCCTCTAAGGGTAATTCTCCAGCTGCTTCTTAAATTGACATACAATCAACATTCTAATGGTGCACTTACTTTGTTTATATTTACAACATTACCTCTACTGTAGGATAACTATAGGATAACTGTGACACAATTATCTGAATTTAACAGACGCCTATAAATATTTGAATGTTAATACTAATCCCCTGGGGGGCAATCGAACCGTCAATCCGCCAATATTTGGAGCCTTGTTTAATTTTAGTAAATATTTTGCGTTAAAGTTACGCTATTATTATATATTTAATGTTCGTCAAAATATAAAACCAATACACAAGGAAAACATTAGCGTAAACTGGATGCATAATATTATCCTTTAATTACAAAGCTGCATTTAATGTTTTAGGTCAATTGAGATTACCTTAATTTATTATTTCAAAGATGTATATCGTTGCTATACTGTTGTTTTCAAATGGCTTATCAATTTCAGTACAATCAATTACTTGTGAAATAGTCGTCAGTCATCTTTAATCCATTAAACTTATCGCTGTGTCTCCGATCTATTTAAATTGCCCTAAATGCTTTTTAATAGTAAAACTTTTTGTTATTTATTTATTACATTATTTTACTCGCTATGTGTTTATGCAAGCAATTACGGATCAGAAGATGCTAAAACTGATCAGAATATAATACATGATTCCATTTTAGATACCGTAAGTTACAATTTGTTTCTGTTATTTTTCGTTTGGTGTTTCATGAAGGATTCCAATTTTGTTAAAGAACAACAACAGTATTAAATAATATTTTAATTGACTTTTGACAGGATCACGATCTAAATGTTTAATTTATTTATATCATCAGAGTCACTATGAAATTTATTTAAAGAGATAAAGATATTGACTGTTGCTTCTCAGCACATATTTGAAAATATTACGTATGTACATAAAAATAATGAATTTTCAAGGCATATTAATGTACATGATATAAATACTAGCAACAAGCTTAAGTTGATACTGCCCACAAGTAGACTGCGTAGAATAAGTAAATCTCATGTATACGTTTCTACAACAAAATCCCAGAAAAATTTCAAAATGTATCATTAGCCAAAAAAAAAAAACATATATAAAATAACGTAGATAAAAATAAATTTGTGTTAAAGGCTATTATAATATTAATTATTATTTAAATGATAACACACTGGAAATGAATTGACCACTTTGTATACTTGACTTTGTATATTGTATTTAATATATTCATGTCACACAATGTAAAACATGTTCACACTGTCAAAAGATCATAAAAAAATGTCCGTCTGAGTTTCTTTCGCTGGTTTTTTTCTTTTCCGAACCGGTGGTAGTATTTTGGCTATCAATAAGTGAGTGTAATGCTCCTATGTTGAATAAAGATATTTGAATTTGAATTATACTTTGTTGCAATTAACTTAAACATGGATTACAAAGAGCGTGGAGATAAAACGTGGTAGGTACAATAATAAGTTTCAATTGCTTATGTAAATAATATATACAATATGTAGTATCATACAACATATCCACACTCTTTTGTTTCTAGCTTTTAGTAAAGGGGTATAAAAAATATAAACCTAATGGTATGATCTATTAGGTTTATATTTTTTATGTAGTTCAAGTACAATGAACTGTTTTTTTTGTGATAAGTTTAAACAGTTGGAAAGAAAAAATTGTCTAATGTTTAAACGTTTTGTTTGCTTTTTCCTCACAGTTTACATTAATAAGGAGATATGGGTACCCGTGTGAAATACATAGGGTATATACCGAAGATAAATACGTTTTGGAAATGCACAGGGTACCGTATGGTAGAAACCAAAGTGATAAGGTGGAACAGAGGCCAGTAGCATTCCTCCAACATGGGTTACTTTCATCATCGGCCGAATGGGTGCTCATGACACCAGGAAAAGGTCTCGGTAAGGAGGTTTCGATATGAAAAAACAAAATATTACATGCGATTTGAGCCATGACATCGCTGTGACCTTAGAATGTGCTCCGCTTTAAGCCACCTTCATTTGTTGTTATTTTTTTGTTTTTAGCTTATATTCTGGCGGATGCCGGATATGATGTTTGGATGGGGAACGCCAGAGGCAACACCTACTCCCGTAATCACGTGTATGTGAAGCCAACGCAGTCCGCCTTTTGGCAATTTAGTTGGCACGAAATTGGCTATTACGATTTGCCCGCCATGATTGATTACTCCATGAAGGAGACGGGCGTTAAAAAAGTTCAGTACATCGGCTTCTCTCAAGGAACAACTGCGTTTTGGGTGATGGCGTCCATGAGGCCGGAGTACAATGAAAAGGTCACTGCTATGCACGCTCTTGCACCTATCGCTTTTATAAGAAATATAAGGAGTCCGCTTATAAAGGCAGTAGCACCTTTCACAAATTCATTGGAAGTAAGTAAAATTCAAAAATACACAATTTTATCTGAAGCCAAGTGTTCTGTAGGTTTTCGAGTATTATCTTGTCCAATCGCAATAACTGGACAAACACTTTGTTAACGGCAAAGTAGGTAATAGTTTTGTCAAGCACTTTGTTGCACACCAATATTTTTTGGAGTTTTGATATCTGGCGCCAACAATTGCTTATATTTGTTTAAAGATTATAATGTTATACCAATATCTAATGGTTTATCCAGAAAATTGAATAGCTACATTTACAAGTAAGCGTTAGATTTTTTAGCATCAATCACAAAATCACAATAAAAATAAATCCAATTCACCATCTTAACAATAAAATTTGTCTATTCTGTAAGTTGCTTTAAATAATATAAGTAGTTAAGCAAATGTTGTAATAATAAAAATTAAAGATGTTTTGTTGACGTTTTGTTTTAGCGAGTTATGAAGTTATTGGGTGCCAATGAGTTTCTACCTAATGGTAAAATAAATGAACTAGCTGGTGAACACCTATGCGTCGAAGAGGCTGTTACGCAAGTACTGTGCAAAAATCTACTCTTCCTTATATGTGGATTTGATAATGAGCAAATGAATAATGTGAGTTCGTAAGACTTAAAAATAATTTTATTTTACCAATTCTTCGACTGCTTTTTTTAGATTATACTAGCTGACTCGGCAAACGTTGTTTTGCCATAATATTACACAAACATAGTTGACAGGTTGACAGGTATAGTTTATATGAGAAAATAAAATAGCTGCTAATTCGATGAAGTTCTCATCGTATAAACCTTCCCTGGCGTGCCACAAATTTTTTAAAATCAAAATTAGCCAAATCGGTTCGGGCGTTCTCGAGTTTTAGCGAGACAAACGAACAGCAATTCATTTATATTTATTTTGTATAGATTAGTAGTAGATTGCATTAACATTACACAGAATTATTAATTGCTCTTTATTACATTATTTTAACCTTCTGTTACGTGAGGTTCATGGTAGCATTCTTCAAAAATAAAGCATTCTTCTCAAAAACACAACGCCAGAATAAAAATATGAAAATTTGCCAAGCGGTTCACCTGATGTTAAGTGAATACCGCCGCCCATGGACATCTGCTACACACGAGGGTTGCTTTTGAAAATTGGGCTCCGGCTACCTAACTCACCAGACGAAACGCGAAAGTATTATACTTCTACTTTACGCCGGTCCTCTGTGAGGTCCTAGTGCCTACTTACTCGAACGAGCCTGCCCATTCGTGCAACAGCCGAGGCTGCTGCGTGGCCTTACCATGTTTTAAGTTAAACACATGTTTTAAGTTTTTTATAGAAAGTGGTTTACTCATTATACTTAAATATAGCTATATTGCTTAAGTGTTAAAACGGCTCCTGTATCACGATTGGGCAGGCTCACCTCCACCCAGGCGAGCCTGCCCTAGGGGGGCCCTAAGCCGATAGCCTCCGATAGCCTCAATGAAGACTGAGAGATTGATATGGAAAGGAGAGAATTTTCCCCTGGTCCATGAATTAAGCATTTTTGAAATTATAGTTATTATTAACTATAATTTATTAAATATAACTGTATTTACGGACTTATCGCGTTTATTTTTACAGACAGTCTGTCCCGTGACCATGAACCCTGAAAAGAGTTTAAAACATGATAAAATTTAAAAGTAAGCCGGGGAAAAATCCGTAAATATAGTGTAACTTAATAATGTTTAATCGCGTAAATACAAGAAATCATCATATAGTTTATTTTCAGACAATGTTACCAGTAGTTCTTGGTCACACACCAGCCGGTGCATCGACCAGGCAAATAATTCACTTCGGCCAGTTATACAATTCCGACGACTTTCTGCAATTCGACTTTGGCCGCTTACGTAATAAACGGATTTACGGCAGTAGAATTCCACCGGTGTATAACTTGACCGCCATTACCACACCAGTTTTCCTACATTATTCTGACAACGATTGGTTATCAACACCGATTGACGTGGAAAGATTGATGTTAAAATTGCCCGCAGTCGTTGGCAAATACAGAGTACCATTAAAGAAGTTCAATCATTTAGATTTCGTTTTCGCTAATGACGCCAAAAGACTAGTTTATGATCGTTTGCTGAACATTATGTTGCAGTTTTAAACAAATTCATGTGATCAATTGTTATAATATTGTTAATAAATAAATAAAACACTTTGAAAACTAGTACAATACAGTTTTTATTTCATTTTCTTTATGTACTTTCACTACTAACATCACAAGTTGGCACCTGGAATGAATTCAATATTCTACAAAAAATTGTCAAAGGAAACAATAAATATGTTGAATTTACTACTTACACCATATATATGTACATTAACATCTTCACCAACACGATGAAATAGTAGTACGAGAATTGGCCGATTTGACGGAATTGTTTAGAGTTTTTCCGAAAGTAGCGCTTATTTCCTGCCGTGAAGTACTACTGTGTGCTTTATTAGCTATCCTTATTTCTTTTTGCACCATGTTACCAAATGTGTTTTGTACTAAAAATATATATTTATGGTTATACAAGTTTGTATATGAAAGGAATTATTCTAAAAAGAGCGTAATGTATTTATTAGTCATTATATTCTATAACTTATCCTTTACCTTTAGTTAATAAATCGATTGGGTTTTGTTTTTGACAACAATCTGATCCCTCAATACTGAAATCGTCCAAAGGTTTATTACTTTTGTGAACAACTTGTAACATACAAACGTGTTTGTAGTCCTGAAATTTTTGTGTTGTGGTTAGAATTTTTGTAAATAATAACGAGGATTAGGTCAAAAACACGGGGAATACCTTATTTTTGTAGTTTTTTACAGTTATAATTACTTCCGAATTGTTATCTTTAGTTAAATTTTTGCATAGGATTTCTTCAGAACTTGTTTCGAATGGTTTAAGGACAGCATTGGCGTCACCAATAGGGTTTAAAGATGCTGGGGGATCGAAAGATATTCGAGAACGTTTTTTACTAGCCTCACGAAGTTTACTTTTGAGCGAAACATTCTCTCTCCTCAATTCTTCTACTTCGTCAATTTGTACTTCTAATCGTCCTTGTAGGTTTTGTAAATAACTTCTGCTGGCTTTAATTTTATCACTATGACTTATATTAACAGGGTCACATCCAGTGTCTGATAGTTTCACTGTACTTGTGGCGGCATACCCGCTGATTTTTTTTGCAGATGATCGACAAGTACATTTGAATTTACTACTTTTAGTTATCAAATCAATTTTGCTTAATTTGTCGACAGTTTGCTGCTGTGGAACCGACGTGTTAATATCACTTTTTGAACTTTTGATATGTTTCCACTCAAAGTCGTTCTTGGTAATTGAAGGAATAAAACCTTTCACATAAGCAGCTTGTTCTAAAATTTCCTTTTGCCAAACTTTAGAGACATTGTTGACACAATCTGCTGAACCTGAATTTTCTTTGGATATAACTTCTGTTTTAGGAATGTTAATGTAGAATATTTTGTTAAGAATAACTTTCCAAAACATTCTGATACTCTTCAAAGCATTTAAACATTTATCGCATGGCCAATGCCCTGTTTCTAATTCTTCCTAAAAAAATTGTTAATGAAAATTGTTTTAAAACGGCGAATTGAAATTTAACGCGATAAAATCTTTAAAAATAGTCCTCATCCATCTATAGGTTTACTTCATACATAAAATTTTTCTTTTAAATTCATTTTAATATATCCAAATTTTAATGTATTTAATAAAAGAAAAAAATAAGAAATACCTCTTCAAAATACTTTTCTAAATTTTCCCTACTTTTTAAGCATTCCTTCATTGCTTGGCATGAAGCACATATACTTTCCAAAAGCTTCTTAGATTTACAATCTGGATGACACCGTGGTGCAAGCTATGGGTAAATACAAATACAATATTTCTGGTAGAAAGTACAGACCCGTGGAGACGGTCAGGTACAGTAGTAAAAATTAATATGAAAAATTTTGTTTAAAGGAAATAATCACAGATTTCAAAGTGAAATGTAGCACTTTCCTTAATTACACAAAAACAGTTTTTCTTGGTTCTTTCCAATTAAACTTTAGAAGAAATGAGTTTTCTTCTATTGGTTCTATTCTTAAGCTGATTTATTTTTTCATGAATAACAGTTTAAAAACTATTTTGTTCTTCTTGAATTGTTTTGCATAAGTTTTACCTGACAATATATATATCGAAGTGTATTGTCCTGCCAACACTTGGTTTAAATTTTCGAATATATAAGCTGGTCGTAAACTTTTTGAACTCTTCATTTAAGAGTCGAATATACAGGAATCAAATAATACGAATTCACTTACTCGTCCAAAATGTTTGCAAGTCATTGATTTCATTAAGTTGTTCAAAGTAGAAAGTGGAAAAACGCAAGCAGGCATGTTGCACTTCATCCATTCCCTGAGATATCGATCGCGAACACTCATGTCATGACTCCATGCTCTTAAATCAAAACAAGAGTCATAAGATTTCAATTTGCCTTCATTCCGTGATAACAAAATGATTTTTCCTTGATGTGTATAATTCATTGAAGTTAAAAAACAGTGGATATATCTATTAATATTTTCTCCATTTGAACTTCCTGACAAACAATTTTGATATCTACAAACTGACTGTCTCTGTAAAAGTGTTGACAATTGTAGTTGCGTTTAAAATGTGGAATATTATTTAGAAACATTGTAAGTATATGAAAAAGAGTGGGATAGTAAATATAATTAACAGGCCTAACGGCGTTTTAATACCAATGATAAATATACAATCCGTAACAAATGTACTTATTTTACATGTACCGATATTCTAGGTTGCGAAGGTTTTAATAATTTGTGGTTCTGAAGTCCCCGCTTAATAGAACTTTATCTCATACCTTCTATATGTTATGTAACGAAAGTCAGTTTTATTTATACCTGGTCGGCAATATTAAAATATATATCAATATATATTTTTTGCTGTCATTTTTATTACAAGACAACTATCAGTCGTGATTGAGTGACAGTTGAAAATATTTATTGTTTTGGATATCTTTTATAACAATTAATTGAACGATTTTTATAAAACGCGTGAATTAAATTTTTATAATGTAGAATGGGTTGTCTAAACATACTAACAAACTGCATTTCCTTTTTTATTTGATCGTACCTACCTAATGTGAAAAGTACAAAACTATGTCGTTCATAACAAAAAGAGAGCGTGTATTTAACGAATACAGCCTTTTGGATTTGCCAGCACGAAATGAAGGTAAACTCAAGGCGTATGCTTCATGCACAGACGCAAGGGCCTGGTCGCATTTTTGTACGGATAAAAGCGATCACTTGGTGGAAATAATCAAGCGGAACAACGAAACCTGCCGACCGAAGTACGTGCCTACCGATGTGATAGTGAACACGCTGATGGGAACTAAAAATGCCGAAATCACCCGCTTACGTCGGAAGATTGAAGAGTTCGAACAGCTGCTGGCGGCGTACGACCAACTTGATCTGACATGCGAACAGAAAATTGAGATAGCCAACGCTGTTAGTAGATGTTATCGGTAATATACAGTCAATAATATTTTCACTATAACCACCTTGCACTTTCCAGCATGCAGCTATAAAAGCCGCCAATAAAGAGTTAGACGATATGGTAAGAATAATAATTTCTTCCTCAATTGAAAATGAAATCTCTTTAAACATACTTCGTTAATATTTTCTTACTATTTCAGTGTTTGGATTTGGATCTCTCAGGTTATACAGAGGTACTCCTTAACACTATATTCGTTTTTCTTTTTTTTTAATTGAAGAGCCTTTTATATATATATATATACTTACATTTTTTTTCTTTTTAAGGGTATCGATTCCGAAGCCTTTGAGGTGAGTTACACCTTTAATTTAAAATAAGTTTCTTTATTAAAGTTAATGCATTTCATATGAATTAATACATTGTGTTTTTAGACCGGGAAATCTAGAGGAGACGAGGTACGTTTTATTTCCAAACTTTTTTTGGCATTATTCGTTTTTATAAATGAACCCCAAAATACATAATTTTTGCTTTTAGGTTTCGCGCCATAAGGACTTTGAGGTATCCATTTTCTTCGCACAATATTAAATTTTAATAAATTGACTGAATATTAGTGCCACGTGTGCTTTTATTACATCACGCAACAGTTTCTGTTGTTGCGTGACGTAATAATATGACTATAAAGTCAATTGCAGGCAAATAAAGTCAAAAGCTGGCAGGCTCGACCGGGGAAGTACTACAGCCTCTCAAGTCAAATCTAATCAAAATATATTTATTCATATAGAAGCTTTCGCGTTCTTATGAAACTTCGAAATTTTACATAAAAATTAATACGTTCGTAAGTTACCACTCTAAAAATGGTGTTATACTCTCGCATTTTTCGGATTCTTCTTTTAAAGGTTGTTAACACATCTGCCAGTCCTCAGGTGTTGTATGAATCTATGGGCACTGCGTTAATTACTTAACATCAGTTGAACCGCCTGGTAGCTTGACAAATTTTCACATAAAATAAAACGAAAAGTAAATCAGTATGAAGCTTGTCAAGAGCGGTGTGTAGATATTGGAATAATTTTTATGATTGTTTTACTATAAGTACTCCCAATACTCTACAGTCTACAGCAGTGCAAAAGAGCGAAATAAAATATTTTTTAAAGTATTTCATAGGTCAGTATTGATGACTCCGTGACGCAGTTGCCAAGGTATTGGCTTCGGCGTCGGGGGTGGTGGGTTCGATTTCCACTCGGGACAACTATTTGTGTGACCCACAGATAGTTGTTTCGCATCTGGGTGTTGGTCCGCATGAAATTTATGTTTGTAAAATGTCCTTACAACACAGGATAATTTTATCCTAAAGTAAGGGCAGTGTTTAAAAAAAAGTATAAATTGAATCCCCGTTTCATTATCATCATCAGCTGGAATACTTGCACTGTTGAATAAAGAACACTCTCTTAGGACGCCACAACAAACGACACTTGTATTTGCATTTGATTCCCCGTTAAATGTAATAATTTTTTTTGTTTACTTTTATTTGGTAATTTATTATTGTTAATACATTACAGTTGGAAACATCGAGAGGAACTGAGGTATAAGGAAATTTATTTTTTATCATTCCTTCTAACAGCGAATCATTTGTCTTAACATTTTAGTCCATTGAAATGTTTCATTGTTTGGGCTTGGCGTGCAAACGTAAGAGCACGCAATTTTATTTATTTATTGAGGTTTCACAGCGCTACGAAACTAACACTATTTTTCAGTACTCGTTTCCTCTCATCTTTCTATTGTTTTTATTTTTAATAATTTGCTTGATAATTTGCTTGATATGGCGTAAAAACCATAGACTTAGGATGTAACGTACATTCGTACATTCTAAATTTATAGTAAAAACCATTTGCACCACTTTTTTCGAGATGGCGGCTACGAGACTAGACCCACAAATATGGATTTGATTCAAGACTAACACCTTCTTGACATCCAAAAAATAAAATTCCGTGTTCTGATTTTTGCAACCGTAAATATAGCTTTGCAATGGACTATTTCGTTTAACGATTATACACATTAAAGAAAACCACAAGTCTAATTTTAAAAATATAGCAGCCTTGGGGAAAATTTATTTAAGTTTAAGCTCCATTTTAATTAAGCCTCTCATCTAAGGGGTACTTTGGTCAGGGCCGGGAGTGAAAATCGGAGGCAGCTGAAGTAAGTGGCGCAAATATGAGTCTCTTTGTTTATATTATATATTTGTGCCATATGCTGTTGAAACTTTGGGTTCGCGTTGTCCCCATACATTGAAATTTTAGAAAGGTTTTACTTCCTAGGCTTAATGCCGCGTCTGGCGACAAGAGCTTGTTCTTTTCTCGCTCAAAGGTTAAGCATAACTATTAAGCGAGGAAATACAGCTAGCATTTTTGGCACCATGCAGCGTGGACTTGGTTTTTATAATACGTAATTTAGGTAGATATAATGTTTTAAATATTGGATAAATAGATTGTTAATGCCTATTTTAATTCTAATACATTTCTACTCGTTGTATTAATTACAATTAAAAAAAAATCATTAGCATCTGCCATTTCATAGTTGCTAAAATATTTAGAATATATATCCAACTTGTTGGCCTTAATAAATTTGAAAAAATTGATCTAGTAATGGTTTTGTCATTGAAATACAATGTACTTTGTGTTCCTATTTCGATGATTGATTTAATTGACTTGAAGTTGTTGACTAAAATGTTTTCTAGTGGTCGTTTGACAAGTTATCAATATCGAATAAGGAAACTAAAAGCAATCAAACCGGAGGTCCATCTTGTCCTTGCGATGCAAGTACAGGTGAGAGTCATCTCAATCTTTATGGTCTATCAAATTTATTTGATGAATGTATTAATTTTTTTTAATTGTAATAATTTTTGAAACTAAACATTATACAAAAATTAAGGTGCTGTTGATCCACGAATTGATGAGATGCAAGACATCATAATTAGTAAAGATGCGAAATTAAATGCAATGCGAAATACAATAGCTGTAAGTTGTATCTGCTAAGATTGATGCTATTATTTGAATACAGTAACAGTATGTTTGATCTTTAATATTGTTTTTGTAACTAGTTACAAAATCGACATTTTAAACCTTTATCTCTCTAAAGTTAAAAGTTTAGTAGTTGTAGTGTTGTAGCACGTTATTTATTTTAAACTAATTTATATACTTAAATGTCTGAAATTATATGATCAAATAGAGTTAATAATATTGGTAAACTACAACAAAAATTGATGCCTACTTTATTAATGTAATATTATTTATTATATCATAGTAGAAATCAAATTTTGTTCCAAAATAATCATCGATTTGCCTTCATAGTCGTAGCTTTAATAATATGTAATAAAAACATTAAAACACATTTTCACATTTCTTCTAGGTAATGGAAAACGATGTTTGTGAACCATACTGCATATATGCTCATATATATACAGCTCTAGAGAAAATTTATGGCATTTTATGTCAAAATGAGAAATATAAGCAATACCTTGAACTTTTGGTAAGATAAAATCAAATAGACTGTTATTTATTTTCAGTTATACAATTTTAAAATATGTAATAAAAATTTACACAGACTTCGGGAAAAGATACTCGATATGTTGATATAAAAGGAAAAATATTTTATAAATTAAAGGTATTTGAAAAGTTCTGCTGCGCATTAATTGCCCCTTGTTCAAATGAATGCTCATGTTATCATGCTGAAATAATTTCAAGGGTAGAGACAGCATTCGCTCTTAGTACTGAAGAATCTGTTAAAATCAATATCGATACCAAACGAGCTCACTTAGTTGCCGATATAATGGGCAATGAAGAAATGAAAGAGTTACTTAGTAAAAAAAGTTCGTGTGATAAAATTGAAGATTCAACTACAGAGGATGATTTTTGTATAAATAATAATTCATGTTTTGATATAGAGAACATTAATCGTCTTAAAGACTTACAAGCTAGTTATGAGGACCTTTTAACTTGTTATGATGATTTGAAATTTGAAAAACATTGTTTAACAATCAAATGCAGGAAATATGAGGAGCTGGAAAAAGATTTTGAAAATTTGCGTAACCAATTAAATTCTTATAACAGTTTGTGGAATGAAAAAGAGTATTACAAAAAACGGTCGGAAGATCTAGATCTTTTAAAAGAAAAATATTTGGTGTTGGCTGATGAAACATTAAATTTGGAAACCCGATTAAAAGCTCAGGAAGAAATAAATAACGTTAAAGCTGTAACGGTAGAACAATTAAGAAGCGAAAATTCAGTTCTGGAAAAAAAACTAAATGATGTATCAGCTGTATGTGAAAAAGAAAAACATGCTTTAGAATGTAAATTAAAAGAAAGTGAATGTAAAATGATGTGCCAAGACCAACAAATAAAAAGTTTATCATTACAAATAAACAAGTTACTTGAACACAGTAATAAAAATGTAAGATGAAAATTCATTTAATTGATTTATTTAAAAATATAGGAATTTAATATAATTATTTTTTAGATTTCTGAAGATAATGAGTTGGACTCAAAGATGTTATTTGATCAAATAGAATCGCAGAAAGAAGAAATAAATAAACTTAAAAATGCGTTATTCTTTAAAGAAGAAGAAAAAGAACAACTTCAAGTTGGATATCAAGAAAAGATTGTAATTATAAACAATTTGCGATTAGAAATTGAGGATTGGAGACGTAAGTATAATTTTCAGTGCCAAATCATGAAACAAATGTTTATTTCAATTGCTAAATTAATTAAGTTAATTATTAAAAATATAAAAGTTAGTAACAATTTTTATGATAACAAGCTGTACTTTCAAATATTAAGTAAAATTAAAAAAATTATACAAGAAAGTGGAATTTCAAGATTTGAAACGAATACATTTGTGTGTATTTTTGACCTACTGTATATTAAATATAGACACATTTAAAATTTTAAGGTACTTGTGAAAAACAAACCCAGCGTAGTAATACTTTAGAAATATTAACAAAAGAAACCCAAGAGGAATTAAAAAAGTTAAATGAGGAAAACAAAAATCTCATTGACGAAGTTGAAACTAAAAATATTGCAATCGATAATTTGATGAATGTTGTGAGCAATAAATCCCTGGAAATTAATAAATTATCTAATGAAATAGAATTACAAGTACAACAAAATAAACAGTTGCATGAAATAAACGAAATATACAATGATAAAATAAATACACTAGAAAACGAAAGAAAACAAGCTCTAAATTCGTTGAAATTAGCTAATCAGGAAAGTGATTTACTGCTTACTAACTTCCTTATACCTGATGATTCAACTTATGAACAAAAAAAAGATACTGAAAGTGCTAAAACTTCCGGGGAAGATAACGAAGAAAAACAGCAACTAGAAAATCATACCAAGCCAAATTCATTTCTTTTGAATGAAATTGACACATTTCGGATTAACAATATAGAAAACATAAAAAAGATGTTAAATCAGAGCAATGAAAGTATAAAATATTCAGAAATGAAGTGCGAGCAAAATAAGATCCAAGAAATTAGGCTTCAGGAAGTAGACGAGCTCAAGGAAAAGCTTAGATCTACGGAGAAATCATATAGTCATACTGTACTCGAAAATAAACATCTTGTTAAAGAATTAGAGGAAAAGATAAATAAAATAGAAGAAGCCCATCGTCAGATACAAGTATTAAAAGAAGAGAAACAATTATTCTTATGTCAATTAGACGATACTGAAAAACTCAAGGAATGTTTATCTCAACTTCAATGCGAAAACAATGTAATCTTTGAAAAGAAAAATAACTTAGAGAATGATTTATTGCTAAAAAATGAAGAGATTAAAAATTTATCTAATTTGGTATCAAAGCTTAAATTGGGTAAGCAACATTTTAATGCAATTTGTAGCAGAATAGAAATATTAGAGCAAAAAATTCAGGATTTAAATAAAGCTTATGACAACATAAATTTTGAAAAAGAGGATATACTTCATGATATCAAATGCCAAAGGGATCAATTTATACAATTAAGTGAAAGCTTAAAAACAAAAACAAATGAGAATGATAAATTATCAAATGATTTAAAATTGCTAGAAGAACAATACCTGTTAGCACAAACAAAAATAAATTCATTAGAAAATGAAAACAAAATAAATTTAAATACAGTAATAGTAGAAAATAATTTATTGAAAGAAAAACTTGAATCTTATTCAATCCTTGAAGATGAACTTGATGCGTTAAAGACATCATATTTTCAATTGAAAGTTGAAAAAGAGAACATTGAGCAAGATTTTAAATTACATTTCAATATCTTAGAGAAAATAAAGGCAGAGAATCAAGAGCTACGAAATTATGTTGAATTAAAGAGAGAAGTAGAGGAAATGAAGAAAGAGAAAGAATTCAACCTTAAACAAATAAAAAAATTATCTGATAAATTACATGAATCGGTAAATATGCACTTACTACTACACTTAGTACAAGCCATAATTTTTCTTACGGAGTATTTTCATTGATTCCTTGTTTTTAGAATGAAGCAATAAATAGTTTAACTCAAGATATATCTGAACGAGATGAAAGAATTTCTATTTTAGAAAATCAAGTCAATGAATTGGGAAACGAAGTTCAAAGATTACAAACGAGTTTAGGTTCCATGATCGATTTAGGAGAAGAAATGAATTCCAGAAATCACGAAATCGATCAATCATTAAAGCAAATAGAGGCACACCGTAATATATAGTCCTATAATAGTTTACATCATCAGTCCCGTAATTTTAGATATTTTGTCAAATTTATATAAAGCATTTCTAATATTTTTTTTATAATAAAGTAGCGAATTAATCGCCTATTAATCATTCTCAAGCCGATATTATGTATGAAATTCTGTTATAGCAAAGTATATTAAGTTTTTACCGTTTTATGCTCTTTGAATTTAAATTGAAAATGTACTGTATACCATACTAATGTACATAAAAATATGTACATAAATATGTACATAAAAATGGAAAAAAAACTTACACTTACATATTATTTTTCTAGATTCTAAAGCAACCCATGACATGAGAATAGATCTAGCAAAATTTATTAAAGAAAATGTTAAATTGGAGGAAAAATTATCATCAACAAATGTAGAAGTTGGAATGTTGACAGAGGAAAAGAATGCATACAATTCCCAAGAAATCAATTTACAGGATGAAAAGAAAAAAATTGTAGCAAATATACAAGAATTAGAAACAAGATGCATCGGTGAAAGTGCATTATCTCAAAATAATTGTGGTATTAAAAGCATTTTAACATCGTTAGAAATCATTGGCAATTATATTGAAGCGAGAAATAATTCCTGCCAATTAGTATTAAGTAAAGCTGATGAGGCTAAAAAAATTATAGAGAAAGAAAAGCAAAAAGTAATAAAAGAAAAAGACGCCGCAATAAAAGATAAAATGGATGTACAGAAGCAGCTAAGTATTGTAAGGGAGGCATTAGAACAGCAAAAAAGTAAGGATGAAAACGTGATTAAGGATTTAGAAGCAGAGTTATTAAATCAAAAGCTTTTAATTGAAAAAATAAATCAATCAACAGAGAGCTATATTTCAAAATTACGCGAAGAACTGCGATCTATGCAAGATTTATATGAAGATGCTTTAAGTGACATTAAAGACTTAGAAGCAAAACTAAAAATTGCTAATGAGACGTGTGTTCAAAGCAATAAAATAATTGAAAAAACGAAAATCGAATTAGAAGAAAAATGTCAAGAAATTAAATCCCTCGAAAATATTTTAAATACTTTAAAAAACAAGGATTTTACCGATTTTTCTGCTCAGACTAATCTTCAGAGTAACTTAACTAATATATCTTTACAAACTGAAAATTTAAATCTAAATGAAGTTTTTGATAATCCTAAACATCAAAACTATAAGAAAATAGAGGATGTTGATAGTAGAAAAGATAGTAAACATTTAATTGATATGCCTGAGGATTACACAGAGCTCAAGTCACATAAAAAACAAAGTGAACCATTACTAAGCATGCAGACAGCAAAATTTAACGAAGTCCAAATTTTAACTGCAAATATTGAACCTAGCATAGACGTAATTAAAAATGCTTATGTACATTATAAAATTCAAAGGTTAGGTCTACGACAAACGGAACAATACTCATTTTCGTTTATTAGTAACGAAGTTACCTCTAATTCTGACTCACTAAGTGCTAGTGAAACATTGTCTCCTGATGTTAAAATTTTGAAATTGCCAAAGTCAGAAATTAACCCTAGACAATCATTTCATAAAATTGAAATTGTCACTAATTTACCATCCTCACATTCTTTATCCAACAGCTTTTATTCAAGCGAAAATGAAAAAAGTCTCACTTTTGCAGCACCAATTGTAATTGTCAATAAAAGCAAAGATGATACAAATTTCATTGTCAATAGTAAGAATGATGATAAGTTTTTGACGTATGGCAATGCAGCTGCTAATAAAGATTTAATAAAAGTTCCCCGATGGGAGGATACTGGTGATGAAACAAGAATTGATTCGAGATTAATAAATAAAATGGCAAAGTCGAATGAATCAGAAATGCTACAAAGCAGTTTATCCCTAAAAGAAAATTCAATCACGAAATTCGCTGCCGCTGATTCTTTAGTGCTTGATAATAACCATCAACGTCGACATGAATCTATAAGCAATTCAGCAAAATATCAAAATAAGACTGTATTAAATTCAACCGACTGTTCATTACCCCGCTCCATAAGCGACACATCATTTCAGAACAGCCTTTCTTATAAAGATCTTAAAATCGAAGACAAGCAAAAAATAAATAGTGAAAAGAGATTGACAAAAAATCTAAAATCCCGTTCATTAAAATCTGTTACTAGTGAATTAAAAACAGGCGATGATAGTGAAGATTTGATTCGTATTAGTAGGATAAACAATGTAGACAGCAGTAATTTGAAAAATAAAAAATTGTTGGTTCAAAATACAATGCATGACGTCCCAGGTAGAGCTATACAGGAAAAAAATTCAACAAAAAGTAATGCAAGAGTAAAAGCAAAACGTATTGATTCCGGTCACAGAAATATTTTAAATCATGCAAAATATTTTGACAACTTAAAAAAAGTTGAAATATTTAATGGTAATATACATAATATCGAGACATCAAATCAATCAAATAATATATCTGATACTTCAAGCCTTTTCAAATACACAGATATTTCAAAGAGACACTCTATTTCAAATAATTTATCAAAATCTGCATCAACTATAAACGTTCACGGTCATTTTAGTGTAAATGATGTAGCCGTAATGGTTCAAATTGACAATATAGACGACTACAAGGAAAAGATAAAATTTCTTAACAGCACCATAGAAACTATAGATAGGGACTATAAAGAAAAAATACGAGCAATTAAGGCACAATATGATAATAACATAAAAAATATTATGAACGACCACAATCAAGGTGTTCAAAGTCTCCAAAGCCTTCACGAGGAAACATTACAGGATATACTTAAAGTTCATGAAAATGAAACAGACAATTTAAGAAGTATGAGTATTGAGGCAATGCGAAAAGTTGATAAATTAGAAAACGAGAATAAAATTTTAAAATCTAAAATACTTACATCAAACTCTAGCTCTCTAGACGAGGTAATAACATTATTTTAAGAATTTTGTTTCGCCGTTACAATTACTAATTTCCGAATTTACAAGTAAATATTTTCATTAGGCATCAACAAGAATTTTTTCACATGAAAAACCCAAAGGAAATACAAAACATAAGACCAATTGTGACATAAAAACACTTTCAAAAACAATTGTAGAAGAGTTTAGTATCAATCCAAAAAATGGTCCGTGCACTTGTTCCCTAGATATCAACCTATCTGATACAATACGCAATATATTCGAACAAGTTGACGTTGACCAAAGAAGAATTGCCGAACAGGCCTACTTAAAATATATAGCAAATAAAATATTGACTAGTTGCGTTGAGGTAAAAGATAGTTCTTTTATTAATGGCGGTAGCCTAGTTGGGTTAGCTGTCGAAGTTGGATTATTGTACTCATATCTGGTATATATATGATGCCATTTTATATGGATTATGTTAATGATTTCTTGAATTTATGCGAATACAGTGTAATTATTTTTCTTTAATAACGTGATTATTAAAGAAAAATAATTACACTTTTTTCGCGTTTAATAATTCTTTTATTCCAGATGTTTTGAACCGTTTACAGGCTTTATAGTTAGAATACAGATTCTTCTTCTTTTAATAATTTATTTATAACGTATATATGAAAATTTAACACGAAAAGATAAAATTAGTTTTGTGTAATAATCGATATGGATGTTAAATTTTTCTTAAGTACTAATACGGTTTTATGATGGTCCATTTCAGGCATTGGACATCAAAGAGCTTTCCTTTCTACATTATAAAGTATGCAGAACCTGGAAAACTATCCTTCGGAAAGAAGAAACACTTCACAAGCGAATTGATTCTTTAGAAACCGAATTGTTAAACAAACAAAAGCAGACGCAAAGACATAGTATGTGCATGCATTTATTTATAAAACATTTTGTTTATTGTCAATATAAAGTCGTGTACTTTGATCTTTGTTGAGAAACTATGTTAAAGACCAGTGAATATGTCATTCTGTTATGGATCGTCATTAGATTTTCGAAATGATTTCGATAGTTTGTCCAATGTTTGCCTGCAAAGATTTGTTCAAGATTTAATTCAAACTCAGTAACTGTTACGAACTAGGAGTTCGGGTTTGGAGTGACATGTCGATTGCTTAGAGACTGGAGACTTAAAACCGCTTTTCCGTAGCTGGCTCTATTCACTTACTACGCTTACCTACTTGAGTTTTTCGTTCTGTACGAGACCTGATGCCATAACAGCGGGACTTCAATTCCAACCCTTAGTTACGTAGCTGCCGTATGAACCGGCGATATCCAGCTAAAGGCAAACGGGTTCGATTCCTTGCCGAGCGAATCTAAACAAGAGACAGCGCTCGCACTCAGCGTACAAGCGGCAACTCCGGCAACAACTCTGCTACTGTTTTCCACCCATATGGACTTGTACCGAACGGTACCGATCCGGTGCAGATCCTATTATGTTATTTTTTTTAAGTACAACACTCCGATGGCCAACAAGAAGTACGAGTACTTCTAAAGCGTACTAAGTGCTAGGCTAGTGAAGTTGTTTCAAAGTGAACGAGCCGATGATGCTCAAGTATCTGATGAGTTACTTCGTAGCTTTCGATGGCAGCAAAAATTGCCTGGGCGACTTCATGACCAAATACGATATGTTGCTCAGACACGCTCACAAACGGAGGAGCTGGGTGCAAATGGAAGAGCAGCTTTTTTTAAGGAGAGCTAGGTGGTGCTGACGTCCACCTGGGTAATCATTCGAAAAGACGTAATTGATTTAATTTTAAATTATTAGAGCAGTTTGAAAAAAAATTCTTATTCTTACAATCTGCACTAATATTTTAAGTAGATTCGGGCTCTCAAATCATTTTTTTTATAGTAGTAAAAAGGCCGCTGCGGCTAGCTTTTACCTCCAATATCGAACCCCTAATTCGTAACAATATTGTATTAATGCATATTACGTAGGGTGTTTTTTTGTATCCAGGGTATAAACACAACATCATCACAATATTACAAAGCTGTATCATTAAGAGTTTGTTTAAGTAGAATCACATTTACATTGTTAGGTATGGAATTCTTTTATATACCGTCAAGTGCATATATTACAATATTCTCTCACATAAATTTGCGTATTTTAACTCTTATCATTCTCTAATCCAATGCTATACCCAATCAATAATAAGAGAGACACGTATTTACAATGTACTTGTCTTACGCATACTTTATCTACTTGTTTTATTTAGTATATATGCTAGAAACACACGAAATAGACATTATTTTTATTAGGGATTAATAGAAAGTTAGTCAAGAAGCAAGGATATCGCATTTAAATTTAAAGCAGCGGACTTAATAAGGGTTTTAAGGTGTTTTTTTTATTTATCACATCTGTTAAGCTGAGCCGTGGCAGCTTACTGTCCAGACGCTGGCTTTTTAATTCAATATCATAGACAACCAGTTCGAATATCCGTGCTGCCACAACTAATATTTTGATAACTAAAATTGTGTGGAAGACTTAAACGATGCATTTTTAAGACATATTATAGAAAAATCATACCTTATGAGAAGTTTCATTAGCCCTCAGTAGGATATATACGTGATGGGATACTGTACACATTTATTGGGACAAAGATTTGTTAGATTGATGATTTTTTGCTTCGATTTCAGTTGCCGAGTTAGATCGGAAAGTGGCGGAAGAGAGGCAGCGCTTGCAGGAAGTGCGCGAAGCGGTGTGTCGTGACTCGCTGACCGAATCCCGAGCTAATAGTTCCCACCCGCGGAAAGCCACGCCTAGCCTCGAACACAGCATCCCTGAGCAGGACTTAACTATGGCGTAAGAGAACATTAATTACTTATGGGTTTGTCTTTACTTGACATTTTGAGAAACTGTCAGTTTGTGGAAATCATTGTTTGAAAAGAGTTTGTGGAATAGCGACCCGTCTTAAGGACCATCAAGAACTTTAATAATTTAACAGGCGTTTGTTATCTCCACAATGAATCAAATATAGATTATTTTACTTCATATCAAGTGAAAAGAAAACAAGAAATGTTTTGGGAAACTAAAAATACAAATAAGGGAAACAAAAAATCTACGAAAATATAGTGTCGCTTAATCTGATCTCTGAGCTAATTTTTGTACTTGATACTTAAACCAATGCTGATGAAATGCCAGTATGGTCTCAGTTGCGTATAATGCCATCTAATTTGCATGACAAAGTAAAAACAAGCTTTCAATCATAAGCTCTAACTAGCCATAGCCCATGGATGGAAATGGGAAAATCAATTAGAGGGTCCATCATTGTGCCCTTTTAACCCAATTCCAGACGAAACCGCGTTGCGCATCGAAAATCGGAAGCTAAAGAAACTCTCCCGAGCGGTGACCTTCCACCAGACCTACCCTGTACAGAGTTATGTTGTCGCTGCGCTACGATGACACGTGACAGACGGGTACTCACAATTATCTATTTTATTAATATTTTATTGTACTCATAATTATCTACTTCAAGATTTTTGATGTGATTTTTGAGCTTGTGGGAAAAAAAACTTTTGTTGTGTTTTCTATTTATTTGGTTTTGGGAGGACAAGTATAGCAAAACATTTGTCAAAAAGATGAAATTTCATAGATAAGTTTCGAATTATCGCGTGTTATGTATAAGATGAAATTGTAAATTATTATTTTTCTTTTCAACTGCTAGAGTAGAGAGTCGTTCTATCAAGTGATAGAGCTGTAGAGAGTGCCCAATTTTTCTTAATTAATAATATTAATTAATAAAGAGTAGGCCTTTAAATTCAATAATTAATGAATTAATAACTAGTTAAATATTCGTTAGTAGAAGGCTCTGATTGTGTTAGTAAATTTTTTTTAGAATGTTTTGCCAAAAATGGACGTCGAGGAGCGCCGTGATAGAAAGCAGTATTGTGACGAGCGACCAACGCGTCTCCGCCGTTCTAATGATCGTCAAAACTCCAGATCTCAAAAAAAATAACATGCGCTGCAAAGGATTCGAAATTGACATAGGTACTTATTTTGTTGGAGGTATTTATTAAACCGAATAATCTGCCAAATCCACTCCTTTCATAAACAAAGAGCAAAGTTAGCGATACAATACTCTCAATAACATTACAAATCTTCTCTTTTATACCATATTGAATTTAGAATATATGCGAATGCTAAATAACTTGCGCATTTTTTTTGTTTAAATTGTCTTTCGGATTTTTTGTTTTCGTTTTATATAATTTATATTTATTTCTATTTAATACTGAACAATAAATTTCAAATTGTATTTTTTACAAATAAAACCATAAAAGTATTTGTATTTTCCTTGTGTAATTTTACATTTTTATATACATATTTAATATTGATTTATGTTTAACAAATTGAGACTGGGCTTAAACAAATTAAAGTGATAAAAATAAAAATGTATCTAGTGAGGCGAGATTTATTAGTAACATTGAGTAATAATTCGGAAATGGAATCAAACTGTATTTAAAGCCCCCTTCATACAGATGGTATCAGGGCATAGTCACTACGCGACCCCATTGTGGACTTTACATATCTTCGGAAGTATTTTATTTTGTTATTATTTGGAAAATATGCAGGTTTCTTAACAATGTTTTTCTTCACTGCTCGGTCAGCACTTAAAACTAACAATTTTATTGGTGTCAGCACCAGGATTTGGATTCTGGTTTTTGATACTGAGACGGGTTCTGGAAGTTTGGACAAATGCATCTAGATGGAGATTTGTTGATAATTTATTGTCTATTGTAAGTGCGACTGTCTATTGAACGTGGGATTGATGACGTTAAGGTGGGGCGCGCGATAAACTGGGTTCACGATGTCTGGAACAGTAAAGCCGGCTGCGGCGGACTTCTCTGCGAAATTTCTATACTCCCTCGCGTCGTGTATGTCTACTAGGATTTTCCAGACCATGATTGTTATAAGTCCAATCAGTATGAGCGCACCAAAGGGGACGCCAACAGCCACTGAAAACAGAGATATGTAAACAGATTAACGTCACTGCTATAAGATTAACTGCCAACGAAACACGACATTGTTGTATATTTTTAAGTGGTAAGTGAGCATGCGTTTCATCTAATATTGATTACCGCGCGGCTCGACGCAGCCACGCAGCAGCCTCGGCTGTTGCACGAATGGGCAGGCTCGTCCGGGTAAGTACCTCACAGAAGACCGGCGTAAAGTGGAAGTATAATACTTTCGCGTTTCGGCAGGTGAGTGAGGTAGCCGGAGCCCAATTTTAAAAAGGTTTTCAACGCATCAGGAACCCTCGGCTGTAGCAGATGTCCATGGGCGGCGTTATTCACTTACCATCAGGTGAACCGTCTGCCCGCTTGGCAACTATTCACATAAAAGTGGCTTTAAAGGTACCGGTTACCTCAACCAACAGCGAAACGCAATTGTTTCCACTTTGCACCGCTTCCAATTCCTAGTGGACAAGTATATATGTCGGCTGCAGTGTGCTATATGTAAAGGCCTCATCTGTACAGTGGGTATTAGGGCATAGTCAACCACGCGACCCCACTGCGGTTTGACGGACTTCAGATATTTTCTTGTAATTTGAAAACGGCGTTTCCTCACGACAACAAATTAATTTTTAACAAATTGATTGGTGCTGGCACTGGTGATCAAATTCAGGTTACTCGAATATAATTATTGAATTAATTCCCTACCCCACAAGTTGACTTCGGGCGGTTGCTCTAAATATTTTTGGACGATGATGTTCAACGTATTAGGCGACGATAGAGGGTAGAAATATTTGAAAACGAGCGTTGTCCCATTCTCATACTGTTTTCTGCACCATTTCGCCATCTGGTGGTCGGGGAGTGCGTCCTCTAGACTGTCCGAAGTTTTTATCTCGATTGAGGTCTGATTGAAGACAAGGTTGCAGTGGCTCTCATTTGCCGTGCGATAGCATTCGGCGTAGTCTTCAAGCTCTAAACATCGTTTCTCGGCGAATTCTTCGCAGCTGTCGCAGAAGCGGCCGGAACAGGTGTGATTGGTGGTGCCCATTGGCAGACAGGAGCATTCACCGCAGATGCATTTGCCGTTACCCGAGCAAACCTAGTTTGATATAAATGAGCCCGTTTTATTACATACGTTGAATATGCTGCTTTCATTTTCTCTATTAGTTATTTGTATGCCGGATACTTCTCTGGGAACACAAAAAACTATATACCTCTTTGGAGCGCGGAGCGTAACAGCTGTCATTATCAACAGGACAATCGCAACCGGGGCCCGTTCTGCTCGGTAAACACTCGCATTTCCCGTACCGGCATCTACCCATCCCAGAACACAGCTTATCACCAGGGCTAACGCAAGAATTGTCATCGTATTGACAGAAATCTCCTGAAAATCCTTTCTGGCAATCCACGCACTTGCCGCAACTGAAAAGTGCATAAGAGCGCATGAAAGTGATTAATTTTTATCATAATAGACATGGTGTAAGCTGTTTAAAGCTGCGGTCCTGAGTACATTGAAATCTATTCTTACGAATTTTATTAAAATATTATAGCGTAACATCAACCTTACTTCCCTTAATTTATAAACCAGTGTTTTGATTAATCAACAGTTGTAGGATTTTCGATCAGGAATAGGTACGTCTTAAATTTGAGACTTAATATCTTACTCGTGATCATTTGTAGATGTGTAGTGTTCGCATAACGGGAAAACATTATGTACTGGTAGCGTTAAATATGGTCTTCATATTTATCGTGTAACATAGTATCATCATTACGATTTTAAAATTTTTATTCTTATTTATACACTGCACTACTGCGTTGCTGGCAATCTACACTTACAAAATAATAAATTATGATAATAATATAATTATTTTTTTAAATGGTTTTTTTTACGTGAAAGTTTAATTTGTTAAAACTTGTAATCCTAGATGTTAAGGTTACGGAAACCCTAGGGATTTGATTGAAATAAGTAATTGGAACATCCTCTCTTAAATACCTGCATATTCCCTTTCCATTACAGTAACTTGTATCGTTACTTGTCATCTTGCATTTGTCTAAATCTATGCTGGTCGTAGAAGCTCCCTCACATCGGCAATCATCTCCGTATCTAATAAAATTAAGAGATGCGTATCAATAATAAAACAAAATATTGCAAGTACTTAATTAATAATAATAATAATTATAAGCAGATCGACACTGCGTCTAGTGGGATGTTTTCCACCTCGAGAACCGAGAACCTCTCTTTCTCATTGGTTATCGGTTCTTCGAGCTATATGGCCAGCCAATTGCCACTTTAGCTTTCCAAGCCTCTGAGCTATGTCATTTAACTTTGTTCTACTAAGGATGTTTTCTTCTATCACGCAGAAAAATACCTAGCATAGTCCACCCCATAGCTCACTGGGTGACTTTGAGCTTCCTCATGCGTTCAGCAGTGAGGGACTAAGTCTTATTTCTGGACTTCGACACTGGAAACACACATTGAAGACTTTAGTCTTCGATCATTGTGGGATATTCGAAGAGTAAATATTCCAAACTTTCTCAAACGCTGCCAATCCGAGTTGGATTCGCCGATGGATCCATACGCGGAATCTGTCTTAGTGGCAGTATATGGGGGAGACCAATGTTCAGCAGTGGAGTTAAACAAGCTGAACAAATGACGCTGATGATATTTATACGTAGTAAGTCAATCACGAAGTAACTCACTTGTTTTCATTGCATTTGCATATACCGCATTGGTATATTCCGTTACCGCTACATTTCGGCGAATTCATCTGAGTTGTATTCATATGCCGCTCGCAGTCACATTCGCAGTCGCTTCGTACCGAAATTGTTAATTTCTCATTTAAGGCCACCAGGCCTAGACTCACTTTATCCGCCATTTTGTCTTTGGGACACCATTTTACTTTAAGCGTCGCATTTATAGTAATGAACTCATTGTACTTAACCTTGCAGTTTCCTTTAATGCGACAATCAGGTTCTACAGCAAGATCGATATGCTTTGGCACTTCGGCGTTAATGTCTATGCTTCTTATCAAGTCCTAATTAAAAAGTGCACATGTCAGAAGTAATAAAAAAATAAGTTAAGTTAGGATATTAATTTAATTATTGGTCTTTAACAATAGCTGGCCTGTTTCTCTAACAATACTAATCAAAACGCATAATCAATAATATTATTCTATAAATTTATTCATGCGTTAATTTTTTGCAGCTTTTTGACTATGAGAAAAAACTACTAACAGTATAAAATCATAATTTTATATGTTCACATTAATTTGATCGTTTTGAACCGTATATACGACTTCACGTTTGAAATGTCATTTAATCAAACCCAGCTGAAATCCGGTTTAATCAAGCCCATGGTTGACAAATTTGTTCGTGAGTCGCAAATAATTTTTCTCTATTAACTGTGTATAATATGGGAATTACGTTAATCATATGGGGAAAAAACCAATTTAACCATTTAATTTAATTCTTACTGATTTCAAGTCAACTAGCTGAAAACTGTCACACTCACAATATATTCGTTTTTAATCATCGCAACCAGATTTGAACCATCTTTCAATTCCACATATTTGGCCCCTCTTATTTTCTTAGCTAATCCCTCATACACTTCTTTTACGTCGGCGATTGCAGCAAATATTATTTTATAATTGTGCTCAGAGGCAACATTATTAATTTGGCTCACAGACGGATAATCAAGTACCAAACTCATGGTGTATTTGTTGTTTCTAAGATGACATTTCATGTCATGCGGTTTGACAGCCCCGACAAATTTTCCATCACCGGCGCTGTGATATGTCGAGTCTGTAGTCAAGACTATGATGCGCCTTGCCTTCTCTCTCCAACCCAATTCTTTTTGGCATACCATCGCTTGCATGAGTGCGTCTAGACCTGCTTCTGGATCGTCGTAGTTGGCGCCGGTCAGTTCGTCTTTTAAAATATTTTTGAATAAAGTCATATTTTGCGTCAAAGACAAATGGTTCTTGAAGGAATAAGCCTCATGACTTGGTCTGTAATAGAATAAAAGGGTATTCTCATATCTTATCATAATATTGTTTAAGTTTCCCTTTCAATATAAGTTTATGGAAGGTTAAAATCTCTAGTTTGCCTTTACGATCCTAACAACCCAAATTTTGATCAAGTATTAAAAGTTTTAATGACTCATTGATGGTAATAAGACATTGTATTTTCCATAAATGTAATTAAATACATCGAATGTGCACACATTATAAAAACATAAGGTACGCTAAAAATTTAACGAAAAATATTACGATAATGGTAAGGTACATTTCCTGAATTAACTTACCCAGCAAACGGCAACGCAGGTTTTTCCACAAAACTTCCAATACCCAATTGCACGTTATTAGTTAATTTTGTCAATTCATTATATATTTCCAAGCCCTGAGTTTCAAGTTGCTTTTTATAAGTCCGCATAGTATATGAATAATCCATTAAATAGTATACATCCAAGGGATAATCTTTAGCAGGCTTATATGACATATTAAAATTTAACTTTACTCCGGGGCGAATCACTACTTCCATTTCTTGTGGTAATACTTGAACCACTCTTTTTCCGTTCCCCCCCGAATTAAAGCTATCATTTCTAATGTGATTGACACTTATCGATGGATTGTAGATATTAGATGAACACCATAACTCATTTTCCTCGAGTATATTTACAGACTGGCATCGGTATCCTGTGTGATTCTCCTAAATTAAAGTAAATGTTTAAATATGTATCTAATAATATGTATTTTAAAAGAATTTAAACGTAAAATAAGCTGTTGAAATATATAAAAGTAAAATATGTAAACGTAAATGTAAAAAATTAAAAAAAAAAACAATTATTTAGTTAAATGTTAATACAAACACGAATAAAAAACATTATAATCAAAGAAAATTATAACATGTATTATTTAGTAAATCAACCAAAGAAAAACAAAAATATCATCCACAAATTACCTACAATATACAGGCGAGACCATTTTTATGGCTAGAAACCGCCTATGTGGCATCATTCATTAATAGGGTACATAACTAGACCCTGATAAGATTTCGGCTGTCGAAAAATATCTGCTACTTAAAACAAGCAAAGCATTAAAACAGTTTTTAGGACTTTTAGACTATTACAGAAAATTTATCTGTGATTTTGCACTTATTTATGTCTCAAAAAGTTGAACAGAATAACATAGTACTAAATAGATTGTTTCGAGAAATGTATGTGGGCTGCCTTGACTGTGCCTTTCGTAATTAAGTAGCGCAAAACTGTCCTCTATTATGAAGAAATATAGTCACAGTCATTTCGACGACAGTTTTTTAGTAAGTACTAGCTGACCCGGCAAACGTTGTTTTGCCATATTAATTATTTCTAGGGAATTTGTGAATTGTGACAAAAAAATTCAGAACGCATGCATAAAATGTTTGACATGTAGGAACAGTTTGAATGAGAAAAAAAATTGTTGCTTTTTCGATTTTCCATGAAATTTTACTGCCACAAATATTTCAAAACCAAAATAAGCTAATTTGGTCCAGCCGTTCTCGAGTTTTAGCGAGACTAACGAACAGCAATTCATTTTTAAATCTGTTGATTATAATTATCAGTATTGATATTCTGGTTTTAATAGATCTTTTTGTTTGTCCTATATAAGAGAGCCCACATTCGCAGTCAAGCTTGTACACTCCTGGACCTTGTAGAGGGATATTACACTTAACGGATGGTAAAAATTGACTTATATTCTTAGGTGGCTTTGAAATAGCTCCTATTCAACCTAGATTTTACAAGCACATGTAGATGATACTTTCACAATTTTACCATCAGACAAAGTAAATGCATTTCTAAACCACCTCAATTTCTTGCACTCCAAGACATCAAGACGTAACAACTCTACATGTATTACTTACTGCTGTACACCATATGCAGGTTTGGTATGCATAGCTTATGCAATCACCGCACGTTGGTAAATTATAGCAGTCGGAATCACATACAAAGCAATAAAATTTTAGTATTATAATAAACACGAGTACGAATGAAAACATTTTTCACTGCTTGATGCGAGGGGAGTCTCGTATTAATTGTAACGATGAGCAAAACTTATTTGTCGTTATGTATAACATAAACGCAGTGACTGTTTGTTAAAAAGTTGTATAAGACTCTAAATCAATTTACAAGAAGAAGAGTGTATAGCTTTTTCGCTCGGTTTTTTTCAATGTTCAATTTTATTATAACTAATTTAAAAGTAACAAAAATACAATGTTTCCTAATTGATGTTAAGCACGACTGTCAAATGAACAGTCGATAAACAAAAAATCTTTTTCATTTAGTCTTAATACACGATTTTGATACTTGTTTTAAAAAAAAACTCAAATAAGCCAACTTTTATAGCCAAATTTAATAAAGTTCGTATAGTTATTACAAAAAGTCAAAGGCTATGGAACATTAACACAGACATAAATACAACTTATCAAATTTAGGTATACATTTTGTTTCCTCCATGTTATCGCAGCGGAAAACTTGCGGTAATTAACATGCAGTAGAATTAAGGCCAAGCTTACCACCAAAATAAAACCTGTTTCATTTATAACAAGTCAGTATTTTAAACTAGAGATGTTTAATCTGAAACTAATGAATACAAGAACATGATTGTAATTCCAAATGTCAAACATTACACCTTCGATGACCTCTTGTGCTTTTAGATGGGCGAAGTTATGCTTTCAGGTCGGAGACTATATAAGGATTCATAAGTAGCAATGGCCGTGGCAAGCTAAGATTCCACAAGTTCGATCAACCCTATGTTAGTAGAGTCACGCATGTTGACAAGTGCACATCAAAGAGTTGATAGTCGACTACTGGCCGTCATCGGTTATAGCCTCGACGGTCATCGAATGTGTTAATCGCTGTCTGGGAGAATTAAGCTCCAATCCGAACGCTGGTATACATTTTACACGCGAGTTGCCGTGTAAAACTAGAGTAGGCGAAAAGATACCAAGTTGACAACCGACGGCATTGAACTTCCCCACTGAAATATAAACACCACGGAATACGCGGTGTATTTACTTAAACGCTCAAATTTTGTGTTTGCGGTGTCGTCTAATAAGGTATATCCCTATGGATCTCTATATGGCATACAGAAATTCTTTTCAATAGCCTTAGTGAGAGACAACAATGCACAAGTTCCCGAAAGAAGGCGAACTAGTCTCGCTAATCCTGCCAATGTATTTTGACTTTTCTTAGGCGAAAACTCCAAGAAACAAGAGAAAAGTTGTACTTCTTGATAAATGCGCTGGTATTTTTGTTTTTTTTTTATATAAGAAACTTTCAGGTTGCTAGCAACGATGTAGAACCGAAAATGATTAGAAATGAATGAATGAATATAAAATGGGTTTTAAAGGATGAAATAAAAACGGTCTTATTTTTGAAGTGTCAAATTGGTGGCAGCTGCGACGAAGCTGGGAAGTAGCAAACATGGCGCTAGGGACATAATGCAATGAGACCGCAGCCAATCCCAGCCTGATGATAGATAACATGGAGAAATTCCACGCACGGGATGATATATGATGCGTTATGAGCACTATGCTCCAGATTAAATAGTCACCCGATGAGTAAAGGGAGCATCGACAAAGACCTGACAGTTTTCTAGACAGCAGTGGTCAGAAGACGATCCAAGGAGCAAGTGAATTACGCGTTCGGAACCCACATAGGCGAAGTAACTATTCGTAATAAATCATTTGCCATGGTGAACATTGTTATTCACCGAGGAACGGCAAAAGTGTAAACAATATGAACTTATGGTGATTTTGTTTGAAGCCGTGGTTCCTCCATTTGAATATGCAGATTCAGCAGCAACGAACATTGCATGCCACTAAAATAGAATATTAAAATTGTAACTATCGTAGAAAATATGAAATAACTAGCGACTCTCCCCAGCTTCGCACGGGTAATGTATTATACATCATATGACGCAAATGTATTATACATATGAACCTTCCTCTTGAATCACCCTATCTAGTAAAAAAACCGCATCAAGATCTGTTGTGTAGTTTTAAAGATCTAAGCATACATAGGGTAGGACAGACAGAGGGACGACTTTGTTTTATACTATGTAGTAATGCACAGCAAAAAGACGTTTACGTTTCAAGTGACATTTTACCACAGTCACTCACTTGTTTTGCCTTCCCGGAACCCACTAACACTTAAACTTTATGGTATGGTATTAAAGTTGAAATTGACTTTTAAGTATTATTAGGAATCTTTTGTGCGGGAATATAGAAGTGTTTTTTTTTTAGACTTTTTCAGGCAATTTTTTAAATTTTTTCTTTCATAAGAATAGTCCTGAGAATACTTTGAAAGAACAAAAAAAAAGTTAAAATCGGTCCAGCCGTTCACGCGTGATGGCGCGACCAAGGGAAATAGGGATTAATTTTTATTATGAAATAATTTTATAAATTACTTATAAGTAATTGCCAAGACAATATCGCCCAGGTGTTATTTATTAGTATCACTCATTTATAATGAGTGATACTAATAAACAGCATATTGGAGCTTGTCCTTAACAAAATGAAGTAAATAATATATTCTTCCTCCACGGTGGCACTTAGTGTATTTATAATACAAATAAATTATTACACAATACAGTCCATATTGAGTAATATTTTTTTTGTTAGTTAGGAAATACTTTTGATTTTAGTTAGTGGCTTGCCCCGGCTTTTCCCGGGAGCCATAATGTTCAAGTGTTACGGTAAAAGTGTAAGTGACATTTAGTTTGCCAAATAAAAGTTATAATGTCAACTTTCTAACATATTTTTCAAAAAACAAAAAAAAGTATTGTCTCCCTTGATTAAAAAAAAAAAAAAATAAAAATAAATAAAGGGCCACCCACCACTTTTCCGATATAGTTCACCTAGCGGGATTGGAGTAAAAGTCCTGTATTCTATTACACTTTATTCACAAACCTAAACAGTTTTGTGTTAAAGGGAAGCGGGAGTGAAGCTGGGTAAGTGCCATGACCTTACAGAAGACCAGCGTGAAATGGAAGTGTTATACTTCTGCGTCTGCTGAATGAGGTTGCCGGAGCCCACTCTATTAAGCGGTGGCAACGTATTTGCAACCCTACGGGTGTTACAAATGTACATGGGCGCCGGTTATCACTTAACATCAGGTGATACCATGATATCAGCTCGCTTGCCACCTTCTCAGATAAAAAAACACCTTTACTTTTCTGCACTTTCTAGTTCCCCTTTCCACTTTGAATTCCAACAACTCTGAACTGCGTTATAGCGCACTCCGGGCTCGTTTTATAGGCCAATCGTCTTTTCGTTTCGTTGTCGTTTTCTTTATGTTTTTGTGCTTGCCAGTACTCCAGATGAAACTTACTACTACTGACATTGAGTTTAATAGATGTATTGTAGAAAAGTTTTAGGCGTTGCTAGGATTTGAACCTGCGTCTACTGGGTAACACGTCCAATAAGTCAAGCGTCCGATATCCTCGCTGCGCTTAAATCTCAACACCACCGACTACTTTTCTGCGTTTTTACTAAAAAACTAAAAAAATATAAGTGGGGCTCCCATACAAAAGACATTATTTTCTTTTGCTGTTTTTATAGATAATGGTACGGACCCTTCGTGTCCGAGTCCGACTCGCTCTTAGCTGTTTTTTTATTTTTATTTTATATGGTTATTGCATTTGATTAAAATGGAATTATTATTTTTATTATCAATTAAAAATGAAGGATTAAATTATACGACATTAACACATTTTTACCATTTGTGTCGCCACTGTCATGCATAACGATGTTATTTTGATGTTATAATTGTAATGTTTCAATTTGTATAAATTCTTATTGGAAATTTTGTTACTCTAAAGTGGATATTCTAAAGTTTAAAAATGTTCAACAATTCTGTCATACTATAAAAATACTGGTGGATATGATTGCAAATCCTTTGAAGTACAGCTGATTAACCTTTGGAGGTTGGGAGAAATTTACGGGTGGGTAACGCTAAAGTGGCGTTCAAGATTTTAAATGTCAATCACAAAAAGTACGGCAAATTACGTACTTGACATAGATGTCACTAATACATAAATATACTTCAACATAAATAAAATCATCATAAATACAGTATTATACAGCGTGTCGTTACAACGGCGACAATTAATGAACACACATATAGAGGATAACTTTTTAAAATTATATTAAACATTTACATTCTTTAAACATCAATATTTACAGAGTTATTAAATTTTCCGAAACAAACAATTTTAAAACAAACTTACGTATAAAACTGTACTAAGGCATATGAATGGGTTGAATGAATTAAAAAGAGGTAAAACATACGTTAGAAGGAGAGATTTGTAATGCGACGCTGTGAAAACGAATGAAAAAGTCTCTTAATGTGTGAACCAGTCAGTTGTAGTTGTACAGGATGTTCCAAATTTTGTTTCTTTTTTATTTAATTAGTATGTTTGAAAAATATATTTTTTAATTATGGATTTTTTTAACGCTTATATTTTTTATGATTATTGGCAGGAGGCGTTAGACGTATGTTCATTTATTGTCGCATACTTAAATTTATGTATTATACATACTTATATTTACTATATATTATATATATCTTATATTTAGGCATACATAATGAATATAATTAAAATAAAATAATAGAGTATCAGTCAATCACAATGTTCTGATAAATTAAATAGTGTTTGAATACACGCGCTTCAAAAACATCAACCGATGGAGCCTCTCTAATCTCGACCGGCAGACTAATCCATAATTTCATTGCTGTACAGGTGAAAGAACTGGCATAGTAGTTCATACATGTGAGGGTATTTAAATGTTTAGTATAACCTGTGCGAGGCACACCTCCAACGATCTGTATGTATGAGAACCGCTCACTGAGGTATTGCGGACACCAAGCGTTGTACGTTATATAACATGTTGAGTGCCTGTACATTCCTTCGATTATTTCTTATATTGAACCACCTCAGCTGAGTTCGGTAGTGTGACACGTGATCAAACTTACGAATTTCGAAGATAAAGCGTATAGTATTTATTAGCCCTTCAAGTTTATTTAATAGTGCTTCAGTGATATCAGTGTAGCGGAGATAAGCATAGTTAGTTATGGCCAGCAACAAGTAGTTGACTTAGGTTGTTTTGTTGGGCAAGGGAATAAAATTCTGCAGGCACCACGGCAGTGATGTCAGTAACGTTCTGTTTTTATTTTTAATAAGGTCTTCTTCACGCCCACATGTTTATCTACCGACCAAATAGATCGGGAAAATTCCAGTTAAAAAACGTATCCTCAGCACGAACATAGGCATTTTTTTTGTGATAAGAACATGGGAAACTATGTGAAGCAATAACCAACAAACCGCCAAAATGAAAATAGCAGTAATATGTTTACAAAACATTTATTTTACCATTGCATTTAAAACCATAAAAACGCAAACGTATGAAAAACGAGGAAAAGTAGGTAATTAGGCTCCTCTAAAGGGTGTTGAACTATCCTCAACAATTTAAAAAACCATTACGATGCGTTAAATATCATTATGGGGTGTTGGCAATTCAATGTCACAAAACATTGTGTCGAAAAACAATTCTCGAAAATTTTCACTAGCCATTGTACTCAACTGAGTACAACAATGTTTCAAACACGATTTTTTTGTTTAAAAATATGTAAAATATTTATTTTATAATTCAGAATGTACCTAGCTAATAAACCTAAACTTGGACTTATGAAATCACAAAAAAAATATAGTTACGTTCTTACCTGCACACGCAGATTGTTAGGTTAAATTTTTTAAGTGATAGCTATCATATTCATACACATATAAAATTGTTATTAGTTTCAGACACAATAAGGGTGTTCTAAAACATGTGTGGAACAGGAACTGTTATTAAAGTTTGTTCGTAACGGGTATAGTCTGTTATTTCAAGATATCTGTTATATTTACCAGTTCAGTTACATTAAATACGCTTTCGCTACTAACGCCACCAACTTACTTAGCTTTCATTGCTTTTATAGTAAGTGGAAATAAACAAGTTGATTTAAATCTGGCTATAAATATATTAGCGATATTTTGGTTTTAGGGCTATTATTTAAGTTTACAGAAGCTGAAATTAGGCTACAATAGTCCGCTAATGCTGAAAAAATGGCAACATCAGGTACTGCATTATTTGGTTGGAAACACTGATTGACTGATTGTTTTTCTTCTTCCTTCATCAACCAAAACTTAGCGTTTGCAATTGCATGCATTTTATTTTGTTTGTTTTAATTATTCAGAATCTAAATAAGCAATCTGCATGTCTTCAAAAGGCTAGAGATGGCCAACCAAGAGATAAGTTTAAAGTGGAATGGATATCAAAGTAATATACTGTCTAATGTTAAAGAACTTTATAAAGATGAAGGACTATCAGACGTCACGCTTGTTTCGGAAGGACATAGTTTTAAGGCTCACAAAGTAATTCTTTCTGCAAATAGTTCTGTTTTTAGAACAATATTTCAGGTAAAAATCTTATGAATTAGTTAACAATTTTTGGGAGATATCGCGTAACACCCACCAATTTTGTACATTACAGCAAAACCCCCACAAGGATCCAATTATAGTGCTCCATGACATCAATACCACATCTTTACAAACGTTATTAACGTTTATGTATAATGGGGAGGTTAACGTTACGGAGGAATTTTTGCCCATACTTCTGAAGACTGCGGAAACTTTACGGATTTGTGGATTATCAACTGGCAGTGACACAACTAGAGAAGAAGACGTAAGCTTCTGTTGTTTATTTGTAATGATATTTTATTTTTAAGAAATTTACGAAATACTAGATTAATACATGTTTTGAGCCTTTGAAAAGTCACCATAAAGTTTTAATGATTTACAATTCATATGTAATTTTAACCCTAAAACTATTACCACTAAGAAATTAAGTAACCCAAGGCTTGGTACTTACCAATAACACTAAATATTGATTAAATCTATTTAACATAAAAGTAACAATTAAAAAATTTCTTCAATAATTTTGTAAAATTTTTGCCTTCTAAAGGAACAAGTTTTATGGGAACAAGGAGTTTTATGGGAAGCACTATTCATGTGAAAAAGGCTTAGATTTGGTATATAAACTTATTTCTGTTTAAGTAAGAGATCAATCTTCGTCTGGTTTGTGTGACATTATATTCTTGAAGTTCTCTGAAATTTAGCTGATCTTCATAATGTTCAGAGCTATCTCTTCCTACACAAAAATGAGCTTGTACCTACACCTAGTGCTTGAAAGCCTAACCCTGCCACACTCAAGCTAGCGGATGTGCAATAAAATCTAGTAACAATGAATAATCTTATATTTAGTATTATTATGCATGTATTTAGAACAAGGTATGGTTTTTGGGGTTAAACATTTCATCATCAATTTAATATTTATTGCAACAATTATAGGAAATCAATTAGTCTTAACAAACATCAATTTATTTTTAATACAATAATGTTATTACATAAAATATTATTACAATAATGATTATTCAATGAATTAGATATTCCATTTTGATATTGTTAATGCCAATCAAATATTACAAATACAAAGTTTTAATAATTATGAGGAATTTTCTAGATTTTTGTTTTTTACTTGTATAATAAACAAGATTTCATTAATACATTCATGACAGTCTATCTTTGAGAATTAACTACCTGTCAATGTATTATATTTGTAGATATTATTAAATGCATAATAGAATCTTGCTTATATACAAATAGTCATACAATAGTATCATATAAATTTTACTTCGTGACATATTATATTAATTGTGATGTAATATGTTGGGACACCAATACTAAATGATTTAATTGACAATTTATAGAAAACAACAGCTAGCCAGTCAAAGAAACGTAAAAAGATTGAGTGTGAAGATAATAACAATAAGCTTAAGAAGCCTTATTCTCCTGCTAAATCTGATACATGCATCAATGTATCAGATTCGGAGTCTTTGAAAAATTCCGTAAGTTATCCTTTTAATAATGCAAAAAAATACCTTCGTGATGGGCCGCATTTGCACTTTTCTGTTTCTCATTTCATAGTAATATTTTTGATTTTACAGACTATTATGCCTAAGGTTGAACCTGTTGACTCCCCATTGACTGACTATTCAGGAGAGAATACTAATGATACTGATATAGCTTTGCTAGAGGACGCAGCCGAAAAAAAAACATCAATGAGTCCAGAAAGTCCATCCGCGAAATGTGTTTCAACATCTTTGAGTGATCATAGTGTGAAAAAATGGATAAATGAAGTCAGCAGTACCCAACCCTGCCTAAATATGAGTAATGACAAAGCAAACAGTATTGAGAGCATAGAAGAAGACAAAGATAGTGTAGAAATTGACAAGGAAGTGGAAACCGTTTTGCAAAGTGGAACAATAGTAGAAACTCTAAGCGTCACAACTGAAAGTCTAAACTCTGTTTCAAGTGAAGTGCAGAACATTAAAGGTAATAGTTTGTCAAATTATCATCATGCATTGCATACAAGATTAATGTTATGTAAAGTGGTTTACTAAGGATTCTTGTGGTTCAGCTAAATAATAAAGCATAAAATTTTTATATCAGTTTCTAAATTACTTTCAAAAAAATTCCTTTTAAAAGGAAGTGTCTATGAAAATTTTCAATAATTTTTCTTTTCACGTTTTTTTCTGTGATAGCTTAACATAATTTTAAGCAATTTATGTAAAACTATAAACCAAAATATAGGTATTAATTTTTTTTACTAAGATTATTCATACTTCATATAAATTTCATATTTCAGATAAAACATCTTATGCAAACCCTTCATTCCCTTGTCCATTTTGTCCTCGTGTATACAACAGTTGGGGATACAGGAGAAGGCATGTAAAATCTAGGCATATGACTAATAGGTAAAAACAATTTCATATTAGCTATTGAAATTATACACCTTTGACAATTCTGTATTCTTTGAATACATATAAAATAATTATTTTTGAATACCATATAATGATAGCCATATGATTTAAATTAACTATAATGTAAATATCATATTTTCAGATTATCATGCAAATGGTGTGTATCAGTCTTGCCTTCTACGGGGGCTTGGTATTCTCATGCAACAAGAGCTCACGGTGTGCCTCATGAAGAGGCTAGAAACTCATTGGTAGTCATGGTGGAAGCTCATGCGGTGTTAACTTTGAATGAGCCAAGTGTTACACAGTTGTTGGGTCAAGTTGGTATATCGGATGCTAATGTTGCTACTGTTAATGAAAAGAATTAGGGTATGTTCAATCTGTTTGCTCTTATACACATACATATAGTAATGAAATATTTTTATAAAAGTCAATTTCTTTATAAAAGGTGCCATCAAATTAAAATGGTAAACTAGTTGTAAATGGCACTGCACTTGCTACACTGATATATGTTTAAAGCATATATTGTTTCTAATCTCTTTAAAAATAACTTAAACATAATGATATATTCTGTCCATCTATTGAAATGGAATGCTTTTTCATAAAGTATTTGTATTATGCTGATAAACACAATCCCTTGAGTAATAAAATAGAGATTTGTTGTTCTTGTGTCAGAATTTTAAATTTGTAATTGTCATTAACTGCTTCTAATGTTAAAATTTGTAGAAAAAGTACGAAAAGATTTTCGCCGCTGTGGGAATCGAACCCACGTCCTCGGCATTCTTCTAAGGTTTGTGTGACATAGTTTGATGTTGACTTTAAACCCACTTGGAGAAGACTTCATGGGCCCCAATTTATTTTCTTGTTTCATAACATTTGTCATATCCACAATGTTACCAAAAAATATAAATAGCACATAAAACGTAAATTCCTTTGTGGGAATAATAACTAATTTTAACAAACACACAATAAGGCCTATCAAATCAAATCTTATTTACTGTTCCAAAATATTTATTAATTAAGAATATATGTATTTAGGGTAACGGCGTTTCCAGGTGTGGTGCCATTAACATAAATTTTTACAGAGTAATTGTGAATCATAATATTAGAGGATTTTAGATATATATAACACAGATAAAGTATAAATACATTATATACAAATTATACAATCAAGAAACATGAAATATAATTTTTGTCTCATTTTGGTTTCATGTTGGTATCCAAGCACAGATATATGCACGACGAAAAATATTCTATATATGCTATACATCAATATAAAACATGTATTTTACTAAAGTAATACAAATTTTGTGTAGGTCCCTCCTATTCATGTTTATTTCAAGCATATGATAACAGGTGAAGGAAAATGTCGTCGCTGCAAATATGTGTATAATTTAACTTCTCACGGAAATAGAAAAAGCTTCTTTGTCAAAAAATCCAAGAAAATGTTTTTTTTTTTTTCATAGTCAAAGTATATTTATTTTAAGTTCACTTAAATTCTTAAAATAAATTACCAAAGAACTTAAAACACACATTATTGTCTTATAGACTGCATAAAGCACACAAAAAATTCTGGTTAAGATTTTTATGAACATATCTATTTAAATTACAGGAACTTGAAATCACTGATAGGAACTTCTGGTGCCAGGTTTTATCTTTAATGAATGAAGCCCAAAGTAAAGTCATTATTAAATTATTAATGTTAACACTGCCATCGGATTTCTGCTGAAAAGTTTATTTCAAATTTATATAAAAGAGCTTTGCAAAAGCTTAGATGCAAGTGAAACTACCTCCACATATAAAGCATTTCTTTTTTAATTTAACTGTTGTCTTATGTTTTTGCATGTATGATATGCAAAAGTGAATTTTATCAAAAGTGGTTCACATAGAGAGTGATATTATAAATTTGCAGCGACGGTGTACTGTTGTGTAGAAACATAAAAATAATAAAACAATTAAAAGCAATTAAATAACAAGCAATTGAAAACATGAAAGTAGATGAAATCTTATTTAACATTATAAAAATTGAAATATGTTTAACATATGATCTCTTGATTCTATTAAATTTTATTTTTAAAATATAACAATGTAAAATATATAATAATAAAATTCACTTGAACTAAAACTCTTAACATGGACTGTAACACTTTGTTAGTGAATACACTAGTGACATTTCTGGTCATATTTTATTCCTCTATTTTTCTAATCAAGTGTTGTATAAAGCACGAAATTTCTTTCAATCACTTTTGAATACCCAAATAGATAAATAAGCATTTTTGGCCAGTTGCGGCATTATAACACTTTTGGTCAGTAATGAGTCAATAATTTTGTAGTTTTTAATTTAATTTAGAGATACTGTGTTTAAATTTATCATTATTTATATGTATTATTAAGTTAGATATTACATCAGAAGGGTAGTTTTCGATGCACATGGTTCCACTGAGAGAGTAATGAATTGGTGATGTTCTGTATTTAAGAAATCATTTTGCTATGAACGAGGTAAACAGTTGTTGTAAAGTGAGCTTTTAATGAATTAAGTCACAAATACGCCACCATGTTTCAGTGAACATGTATATGGTTCTTGATATTGTGTCCATGACTATATTTTTAACATTTAATATTTAATTATAAGGTGTGCAGTGTTTTTTGATCTCAAAATCTTATTTCATTAAGACTTTTAATGAGTGTTTGACCGAATTAATATACCACCACTATATATATTGAAGGCAATCTTTCACCTATATTATTAATGGCAATGTAAAACCTAACCAAGGGATATAATCTAAAGTATTTATTATCTCCCAGTTGTTGGTTGAAATGATAGATATTATTTCTATGTTAGTGTTACTAATCCAGTTCCTGTAATCTGTCTCTGCCACTACAAAAAAAATAGCAAATAATGCAGTCTATTTTATTATTAGCATGATATATCTACTTAGTTTTCAGTTATCTTATTCTTAGTATTCATCAAAATCCTGATCGTAATTCATCAAAAATCGTGTCTTTAATTATCTAATATTCAATGTTTAAATCTCAGTTTTTCAAATGCTATTAATAAATAGGTGAAGGATAACCTTTGGCTAAAGTTAAACGAATGGTTTTGTAATTCTTTTGTGTTTACTCATTGCTCCCATGTTTGAAAGAAACATTAAATCAAAGGTAAAGTACATATTGGACAAATAGAGCTTAAAATTATTTCTTGTAAAAGTATATTTTTACAATGTAGAGCTACTTTCATACGGCAATATATTTAGGATGTGATTTATAGAGTTGTAAGAAATTATCTATTATCTAACGTTTAGGCACCTCAACAGTATTTACTTGAGACGTAAATGAATGCATTGTGAGGGTTATATGTAGGAGCCGTAGAGAAAGAAAAAAACATATTTTGTGTCACACTATTGTATTCGATATTTTAGTTTTAATCTTTAATATGGAAAGCTGATAAGTACATTTATGAATACAAAATATAGTTTGTAAGACACACTCAGTTTGTATGCTATTTAAATGAACATTTGTTGACGGTTTACTTATACATAACATATCAATCTTTGCACAGATTGAAAAGGGCTTGTGAGGTACATTTCTTGATTTAGGTTTCATTAATAAGTGAATTCATTTTTTTAAAAAGGTTAAAATAAAATGTTGTAATTGATTTGGATGTAAACACCCTTTGATTAATTCACGTTTAAAATTTACGAGATAGCTATTTTTATACGAACCATGTGATATTTAATGTGATGAGGTATTGATGGCATTTTTTAAACGTTTCTATCGTCTATCGCGCCATAATGTTATTGTTATTAAAATAGAAATTCATACCATTCTCCCGAAGAATTGTCTCTTATGTTCCGTTGTGTCATTCCATTATGCTTATTTGGGTGTGATCGTGTCTTTGTCCAGAAATTGCAATGAAACAGCAATATGCATTTTTAAATGTGAACAGCTGCAATGTATATCTGATATTGTACGATAGCGAACGAAAATATGCTGTTATTACTCAGGTTAATTTTCATAGTCCTAAAATAGTAACAAACAGCGCCATTTACTGGAGTGAGCATTTTAAAAGGTAGGAACTATTTTAATATTTAACATTATGGTTCGATGTGAGTAACACGATATTTCTTCTTAACGCATAGTTTTTTTAAACATTGGCTTATTGAATTGTATATGTTCAGTGCAAAGAAGTTTATTTTTGTTATTAAATTAAGAGTTTCCGAACTTGTCCAGAAACTTTTACGAACGCCAGTGTTTAACAAGCAATAGTATGATTGTGTCATATTCCACTAGTGTGAGCTGTTATTTTGAAATGCCAGTAAGCTAATAAGTAAACTAATTAAATATATGAACGTAAGATTTATATCGTGAGGAGGAACACTGAACATATCAGATAGAAACAGATGCATATTTCCGTTAAGTATTTTAACAATCCTTTGTCGCTTAATATTAGCATTATTCGTATATTTTTTTAAACTCCGTCTACAGAATAGTCAACCTCAGCGGACCACGAATTTTGCTATGAAGTATTTTATACTAATTATAAATCAACTGAGTTCGACCACTATAATTAATAAGTTACCAAAGCAATTTCAAATTAAGGAATATTAGAGTAAGGGAAATTAACTTGATCTATTTTTCTACGTCATTATAAGTCGAAATTAAGATGTATATTTAAGTAACATATTCGAAAACTTTTTATACGCCATGTCCCGCTTTAAGGTTCACTTAGTATTTAATAGAATTAACTCTATTGAGACAAATTATACAACGCTAATTGATGCTAACGGAATCTTATGATGACTTAACACGTAACTTATGGCTTTAAAAATTAGTATACAGAAATGTTAAGGTCGCGCCATAATAAATATAAATTGTATGCGGACTTCCAATGGAGATTAAATATATTTTTCCAGCAGGCACGTTGTTTTCTTTACAAATCGGCCACTGCCCCCTCTAATGTGATGCCCGGAGCTATCTCAGTTACAGTCGACACATCGGACTTATTGCCTTTGATCTGATAAGCCGAGTCGGAGTTCGAATCGGCCCTGTTCGAGTCGGTCATGTAATATTCCTTAGAGTCCTCCCTCATGAAGTCCTTCATCGGTCGGCTCTCTATGACCGGGGTCATTTTGGCCGGCGGTGCCTGCGAGTAGTAAGGGCTCGTGGACTTGCCCCTATTCAAGGGCAAATCGTACCTGGGCGGAGCGCCGCCCACCGCCCTATCCGGCGATATTATATACTTGGGAGCGGCGTGCTTATCCTCCAACACGTCGAGCTCGTTGAACCGTTTCATGGAGGCCCGGTTCTTGGGCGTCTTCTTCAGCATGGCCTGGAAGTTGAACGGGGGCTCATCGTCGCCGAATTCCGTTGCGGATTTCGCCAGCGCCTGCAGCTCCTGTATCGGGTCCTGGGCGTCCATGTCGAAAGTGTGAACGCTCCTGCCGTAGTTACCGCGGCGCATCGGCGCGCTGTTCTCCAAAATCTCCGTCTCGTCCCTCGGGCTGGCCCACGGCGTGGGCGGTTGGTAGTAGCCCTGGGGGGATTGGTTGCCCTTCTTCTTGTACACCACCGGTCGGCTGCCGGTGCCGACGTAAGCGTCCGGGCAGACGGCCGAAGCCCTGGGCAGTGCGTCTTCGGACGGTAGCTTTGGCAACGGCTGCATGGGATCTCTGCAGAACGGCATGGTTATCAGCGTCTGCGTGCTCGCCGACAGCATGTACGGATCGGTTTGCGTCGAGTAGCCGCGCTTCAACGGCTCGTCCCACTGTTCGTGGTCGGAGTCGTTCTGGCCCGCGAACGTGTCGCTACAACGAGACCAATAACGTTAGTCGTATGTTCGATCGGTAAACGAATCGGTGCTAATGTTCATCAATCAGAAGCGGATGACGTCACAAAAGCTAAAGGTTCGGTTTGGTTAAGTTGCGAATGCGATAAGCTTCTTAGTATTGCAAGGGAAAGATTTCAAACTAAACTAAATTATACTACAAATGGTCTGGAATGTATGACGCTATCAGGTTGCTTACCATACAGAAGAGATACACGTAGACGAAGCTGTTCTCACTTCGTCAGAGTAACTGTCGAAACTGATTAAAGATTACAACCATGTACAAAATAATAATTTAGCATTGAATGTTTATCGAAGAAAGGAATTGGTTACAATTGGTGTAATGAACTTTCAGGGGTCGATATTGGCCAGGTAGGGTAAAAAGGGTTATAGTTTTACGGTTTTGTATGACTGTATACGTACGTGATTTTAACATTGGGGTCACACATAGAAGATGTGTCGTAGAATTGCAGCTGGTCGATTCTGAAAGGCAACTTCCATACCGTTGGACGCACAGAGCCGAGGAAAGTTGATCCCTTGGCATTGGGATCAATTCTCTCCAGTAGAACAGATACGCTGGTATTAAGCAGCCCTTCTATGACCGCCTGATTGTATATGTGAATCTAAAACCAGAATAGGTGTCATATACCTCCATATTACAAGGTTTCAACTTACCGAATACTGATATAAAACCCATTAAATAGTGGGTCTTTACGACTTTTGTCGACTTTAACGAAAACTTAACACATCTACATAGAAGTTGTTACTTGTAGTAGTTTTTTAATTATACAAATCGTTAGCCACTCTCTCTTAAATAAGGATGTCCTAACATGTCCTAGGGGCGTCTAATATGCAAAAATTGTACATAAGAACAGATCTCTTATGTCTTATCCGCGGTATTGAAATCTTTATACGCGGCGCCTATCACATGCAAAGCATAAGAGATTGCTAAACGAATACCTGTTGAGAAAAGTGTACCAAATCCTGGTATCGCATTGCCCTGTACTGTAACAGGACTTGGAATATGGAGCGGCTCTTCCATTTCATTGCGTATCTCTTGAGGAACGACGCAGTCGTCTCGTCTATTTGGCCTGATGTCTTGTTGATAAGTGGGCCGTAAGCTTTGCGCACCATATAACCTCTGTATGCTAAAATGAATATTGGGAGCTAAATTAAACTTGTTTCAAAATCCATGCTATTTGCGACCAATTTTAAATTTATAATAAGACTATTCAACAAGCAATGTTTTTAGTCATTTATTTTTGTAAAACGGCGATAGATGAAATATTGAAAGAAGAGAAGAATTTATTTTAAAATTAATTATTATTGTGACAGTTAAAATTCTTAATTCGCTTATAACATCTGTTAATATATGCTATAAACATGCTTCAAATACTATTAATCTAACACACCTTTCTGGATCATCAGTGCAGCTTCGTCCTCAGACACATTTGCGGATTGTTGTTTTTTCAGCTCCTTAACTGAAAGTTAGCAATAGGATAAAGTTAGCAATAGTAATTAACAAATTAAAAACAGTTAAATAAAAATAACACTTTGAATAAAGGTCACTTACTGTGCATTATTTTCGATTTATTCTGGCATGTTTTCCTTTTTGCTAAGAAAGCTCGCATCATACATTGAACTTTGATAATTTTCTTCACTTGCGTTTCATACAATCTATCGAAATAAAATTACTGGATAAGTGATTGGTTAATTTTCAAGATTACTAATTACTAATAGATTATTAATAAATCTTAAACTGCGTATTAAAACAATGAGTAGGGAATTCTAAATTTCTACTGTGAATTGTAATCTACGGATTGTGACCCACGATGTATTTACTATAACTTTTTCGGGGATTTAAGGTATTGTTAAGTTTAGAGGTGACTACACCAGTGCAGTACAAGGAAGTAGATAAAGAAAAAAATATTAAACGAAAGTAGCAGGTTGTAGCACGGTAGATCAATTATTTGTGAGAGATTAAATAAAGTGGATCGTGGCTTGTTGTTGTTGTTGTTGTTGTTGGATCGTGATTTTAGATGTTAAATAATTTCCTTTTATTGTTATTACTTATTTCATTTCAAATATTTTAGGTTACTACTTTTTTGTAGGTATTCAATTTGAACACTAAATGAGTCTTACGTATTTATTCTCCTCTATTTTACAATGTAGCGCAATAAGCATCAAATGATATATAGAAAATATAGTTACATAGATTTATGCTGTGTTTTATAAGTTTACCTGGACAGGAACTCTTCATTGTAATACTTCAGGAACACTTTTGTTTCGCCTAATTCCCAGCCCTCCATTTTCAGGCGAATTAATAGCAGTCTGCAGTTGTCCTTTGTCTCCTCAACATTTTCGTCAAAATCAAACGCCAAGAAACGGTATCTGCGTGCAAATAATTACTTTTTAATAAAAGCTTCCTAAGTTGAGATTTTTTTCACAGATTACTATCATCAGGAACGCTTTATAATCGAATCATAAAAAAGTGCGGGTCTCTATAAAAACTTTATCTATAAAAATATTATCTATAAAAACGGCAAATTAATCATGTCTGTTGTATGGGAGCCCCACTTAAATATTTTTTATTCTATTTTTTAGTTGTTATAGCGGGAACAGAAATACATCATCTGTGAAAATTTCAACTGCCAAACTATCACGGTTCATGATATACGGCCCGTTGACAGACGGACAGTATATCAGACAGTGGGGTCTTAGTAATAGAGTCCCGTTTTACCCTTTGGGTACGGAACCCTAAAAATTAGAAGGGTAAGAATGACATATCGTGCCATATTTATTGTTACTTAAGTAATTGTCGTCAACATTTTAGCCTTTAAATGTCACCCAGTTGTAAAGAAGCTTCTGTTTGGACCGGCAATACGCTTGTATAGTAAAAGTTTACTTCGTTATTTACTCCAGCTTAATTACGGCTCGCATGTACCCATGTACCTGCGTATAAACTCGGCGAAAGGAATACGACAAGAGAATCCCTTTTGGCGCGCTTTCGCTGTGTCCAGTACAGCGAGTGCTCTCAGCTGCTGGCGAACTACCTCCGCCTGGAAACCTCTAGGGCTGTCGGTCAGGTCCGCCCGCACGCAGCGGACGTACAGCGTGCCACCGCTGCCAGGTCCATTCGACAGCTGTTTGAGGATCTCCAGACTGGTCGCCCTGTACGTTGCCGCTGCGGTCCTCATTCTGTGGCTCTGCGAGTAATGCCCGCGCGACACTGTGTTGTATTTCTGAAATGTTTACGCGTTTGGGTGTATTGTCGTCAGTGGCGGATTTGCCCTAAGGCTCAATAGGCCCGAGCTAGGGCTGCCAATCGTGACGAAAAATTCACTGATGATAACAAGATATACAAATGGTGGGCGCTGAGAAAGGGGCTAGGGCCTAGGGCGGCCAAGACTACAAATTCGCCACTGATTGTCGTTTCATATTGGTATTTTATTCAATTTGTATATCTAATGCTTTTGTTTTCGTTGTGAAAGTTGTAGTTTCTGTTTTTATCTTTTTTTTACTTTTTTGTATCGCGTGATCCAAAAACGTGAACTGGTAAAATGAAATTCAGATACCTTGCTAATTGCTGGTTCCGAGATTTATAGATAATTTTCGAAATCAATAGAGATATCAGAATCAGAGAAGAAGAGAAGGGAATGGTTATATGTGTAAAAAAGTAATATCTTACTCGAGCTTTTATATTTTCCATCTCTTTTTCCGGTTTTGACTTACTGTTCGACGGCTGCGGTTGACACGACGAAATGGTTAAGTTACCAGTTTTGGTCAACTTGTTTTTGAATAATTGTTGCAGTGTGGCATTAGTTGATGCCCTCATTGTTTCGATCATCTCGGGGGGGAGAAAATCTTTGTTTTTATCAGCCATTTCCCTGGCGTCGTAATTGACTTTTCCTGTGTAGTGGGCTACGCTAAATTCATGACCTCCGGATAGCTTTATGTATGGACCTTTACTAGTTGTCCGTATGGCATCTGTAATTATTTAAGATTTAAAATAAGACTTGTGAATTTTCAAGAATTCAAAATTTTTCCTACTTACTCATTATAAACTCTTGGCCGCTTCCATTTCGACTAGCTTCATCTAAAATGTAGAATATTCCTGTTGGTCTTGCCATAAGTTGATCAACGGAACTCTTATTGTCATAGAAATGTAGCGGCACTATGGAAATGCCTTCTTGCTCTTCTTCCTGCATTTCCCAAGCAAACATTCTTTGATTATACAGGAACTGTATTTGTTCATTCGTTGTGTTAACAATAAGTTGCTCCAAACGATTTCTATGATAACATTCAAAGCCAAACATATCCCATAAGCTGACTGAGTATTTATCACCACTAAAAGCAATGGAATTTCATTAGTGCTTTAAAGTTTAAGTCGTATCAATTAATTATGACAATATTTCATTATTACTAACAATACAGATCGCATGAAAGATAATTTCGAATTTATCAAATTGATCATCCAGTCTACTAATCTCTTGTATAATGCGCTTGCTAAAGTGTCTCTTGCATCTCTTGCTTCATCAGTAGAATGTCTTTTTTTAATTGCAGTTCCTCTTTCAATTAAACAGTAATTCAATAATGCCCAGAGATATTTCACTTCATCTAGTGACAACAACTTCGCTATTTTTTTAGCTTCTTCAGGATTTTCTATTTCGGCAGTGCCGTTTTTGCTGTCTTTAAATCTTACATTTCCAAGTACTAATATGCTAGCCAATACAGTTTCTAAAAACGTAATATCTTCTTGCTCCCAATCTAAGACCTTTAAGTTCTCTACAAATTCTTTGTATTTTGTAACATTCTCTGTTGGCGTTTCACGCACACCTCTCGCTCCTCGTGGTGATTCTTCTTGTATACGTAGGTAACGATGCTTTCTATATTTCTCTAAACACAATTCCTCTAACCTGTTTTCAGCTTCCATAGCGTCGTAAAAGTAATAAAGAAGATTAAAGTTAGCGTGGGTCCTGCATGGAAAAATAGAAGAAATTAATGATATTTAGTCTTAAGGGATGATTACATAATAGATTAAAGTCGTTCAAAATTTCATATTTACATGTCAGTAGATGAAACACGCCATTTTTCAAGCTGATAAAGCCAAAATATAGCTCCGCTTAATTTGCCGGAGCTGCCATAAGTGACCTGAACTTGTAAAATGCCTCGTGTTGAGTTTTGGTTCACTGGTGTTGCAGCGCATATACAAGCCTGTACAACATCATTCGCTTTTCGAACCCTTTCAGCTGTATTATTTTTCATCGCGCCCAAGTGAGTCAAATGTGAAAGTGCGTGGGTCATGTTAGTAGTCTTTCCTGATTTACTTTCTCCCGAGAATACTATATGTTGAGGTTCATTGTGATGAAGAGCATCTTGATAGGCGCTGTCAGCAACAGCGAATATGTGGGGCTCATTGTCAGATCTTGATTTACATTCATATTTTTTATGATACTGAAACAAAAATAATTCTCTACATATTAAATATACAGACATAAAAATATTACTAAAACAATATTATTATTTAATTACTGACACTTTCGTTGTAGATATCAGCATTCATGTTTGGATTTAAAATGAGAAGAACATCTCCAATGAAAGACGTAAATGATCCCTTTGCTAGTTTTGTGTATAATTCTGATAAAAGATTGTCTTCGGTCAAAACATCTAATGCAGCCAGATCCTCGACTTGCATCGTTTCAGGTTCATGAATACCTTCGGTAGTCAAAAGGCCATTTTTAATAATTTTTTCAGGTATTTTGTCAGGTGCCGGAGAATTACTGAGATCAACAGCTAACATTTTTAGCTCGGTAGATAACTGAAACAGGGAAAAATATATGAATATATTTTATAACGGTTAATGTATGTTACATTTAACAATAACGAACATGATAATCGTTTTCCGGTACTAATTGAATAAATGGATGTTCTTCTAACTCCATCATATAAGGCCTGTGGTCTGGATTCTTTTCAAGACACCTGTAACATTAAAGTTAGATTTTTGATACAAGACTAATAAATGTTAAGATAATGGCTAATAGTTGTTAAATACGTACTCTGCAATAAAATCATTAATGTCATTGGATGACATAGATGGCTTACACACACTTGGCGGAGGATTTCTTACTATTTGAAACAAGGCTCTTGTGGGATGCATATCCTGAAATGGTGCCTTACCGTCCACCATTTCAATGGTTGTTATGCCTAAGGCCCAAACATCAACTCTGCTATCGTAACCTTCATCGCTGATAACAACAGCTTCTGGTGCCATCCAACTTGGTGATCCAATGTTTGTTCTAGTTCTTTCAACGTTTCCCGTCAATTTGCACGCCAATCCGAAATCTGTGAGTTTGACTTCACCGTCTTTTGTGATCAAAATATTGCTGCACCGAACATTTCTATGAATAATTTTATTTTCGTGCAAGTGCACTACAGCCTAAAAATAAATTTTATTGGTGAATTATAATGGCCATTGTTGTCTAAAACTCAATGTGGCGAAGACCGAGTACTGGTCCGTCCGGGTAAGTACCACGACCTCACAGAAGACCAGCGTAAAGTGCAAGTATGACAAATACTTTCGCGTTTCGTCTAGTGAGTGAGGTAGCCGAAGCCCAATTTTCAAAAGGTTGTCAACGCATGTGTAACCCTCGAGTGTAGCAGATGTCCATGGGCGGCGGTATTCACTTACTATAACCAGGTGAACTTACTATGATAATCAGGTGAACTGTCTGCTCGTTTGGCAACTTTTCACATAAAAAAAAGGTCACAGGTGTGGTCTGCGACCACAGGATACCGCCTATGCTCAAGGGACAGTTGTAGAGGAGTATCATCCGACCTGTACTTCTGTATGGTAGCGAGTGCTGGCCAGCTCTATCTCGGCAAACTCAAGAGCTTCACGTTACGCAGATGAAGATGCTAAGGTGGTCGTGCGGTGTCACGTGGGCTGACCGAATACGTAAAACTCATCCGAGACAGTCTCAGGGTCCGTGACGTAGCGGATAAGCTCGAAGAGCGGCGCCTGAGATAGTATGGCCATTTCGCATGCTCTTTGGAAATCTATGTCGGAAGATATGCCTTGATATATCTGTCCCAGGAGCTAGACCTCCTGGACGCCCAAGGAAGCGATGGCTGGATGTCGTGAAGCAGGACATGAGAACCAATGGAGAAAACCCTGAGGATGTTGAATATCGGGAGATTGAGTTGGAAGGCAGACCCTGGCAATAGCCGGGATTAATGCCAGGTAGAATAAAAAGAATAAGAATGGGCATTGTAAGCGTTTTGCAGTATTAAACAATCAGTGTGTTAGAATGAGATTATATAAGTTTTGAAATATCTTTAAAAGGGTTGAAAATAAGTATAATACCTAACTAAGACGCTTATAATTTATTTGTATTTGTACATGAATTTAGTCAATTTCAAATAGTTACAAAATCCACATGACATATTATGGATATGAAAAGATTTCTTTAGCATTGCGTCTAACCGCTAAAGCATTTAAAAATATTAGTAGTTTGTCGAAGATTAACATTTCGTACGGTTATTAGTGTTGCTCATTTCTGATACGCTTTTTAATTTTATGTTTAATGCCTCAGTTTAAAAAAATCATCAAGCTGCAGCTATATAAATAACTATGCCCTACAGGTAAAAACTTTTAGAGGTGCCAATTCTTAAAAATTGAAATCTAGAACCATTTCACATTAAGTAACAAAAAGGGAATAATAATGTATTGTACTAAAATATAAACAAAACTTATGAGGTCCAAGAAAAAAATCATATCCATTACGATCCTCATCGTGTTTGTCAAAAAATTTAAACGGCCACGATGAAACATGTATGTGCGTATGCTGATCTCACTCAACGACACACGCTTCGACCAATAGCTGTATCGATACTTCGATTTGACAGGGTGTGATCGAAGACCGCCCTGACGCACGATCCATCTCGCTGCGTCGCCCCGCGATAGCGACGTCAGCGTCAATCAAGTGGCCCACGCCCCTGGGATGGATTGGGCGCTGCTTTGCATGCGTGTCGTGGCTATCAGCCGTCGCAGCCCGCCTGTCTTCACTCCTCGCTGCCGACGAATCGGTGTCGTTAGCAGTTCTTGTTCGATTTTTAAATTTCGTTCGCATTTTTGCATCCGATTTTCCTTTTTCTTTCCAGTTAGCATGCCATGAACCCATCGCCAATAGATCTATGTATTTGTCAAGTTAAACTTTTGTTATAATAAGCGTTCAGCGTGTTGTAATAATGTCACATAAAGTCGATTCTATAAAGTTATTTATAGCCTAAGTACGAGTTCCAACGAAGTTGCATCATAATTCAGCCGTCGATACGATTACACGAGATTTAGCATTGATAGATACTTATACCCATAGAAAATGTACCAAACGAAGGGACTCGACCATTGGCATTGTGAGTCAAGTGGTTTGCATAAAGATAATATGCATCGAAACCTCTCTAATTCCTTCGGGGCGTAAAAAGTGTCTGAGCTGTCTGGAATTTGAGTTCTGTGGCCACGGTCGTAAGGGGGAGTTTGATTCGCGCCGATAGGGCCCCGGAGATTGTTAGCTACCGCGTCAGAGGTCCGTATATCTTGTGTGCGCAAGCATTATTTACGATAATTGAGCGATGCACCGCGATGGGGGGCCATCATGGTGTTGTCGGGCGCTCTCCGACATTCGCCTGGACAAGTTCGACTGTTTCGTCGCGGATCACATCGAATAAAGCAGCGTGCATTTTAAGTAAAGGCCCTAGATAGTATTTCAACGTACGTGGACATTCGGCAGGCGATATTTTATCGGACGTCACGGGACGAGAAGGAATCGCCGGGCCCGCGGACACGAGAACAATTGAGTTTGCATTCAAAGTACCCACCAATTGATTCAGCCGTTGAAAGGCGGATTGGCAGGCCCTTTGTTTTATAAACAGCCGTCCCGGTTTGTATGTGACGAACGGCATGTTTATAGTCAGTCGAATATGGACTCACCTTGATCGTATATTTGAGTATGTAAGCGATGTGCTCCTCGGACATTTTTCTGTCGGTCGCCTTCAGTTTTCTGACAATATCCAAGACGGACCCGCAATCGCATAACTAGGAGAAAAAGAAATTTTGCTCAGCGTATCCACCACAGATTACAATATGACAATAAACAGGAGCTTGAATCTTATTTAAATTAGGAACAAAAAACTGGTATTATGTTGTTTCTTGTTCTCAATTTTAAATTGTATTTAGAATTATGGTGAAACAAGTATTCTTTAACACTTAAACGTCTTACCTCAAGTATGAACCATATTTTTCTCAGTGATTCTGACTTCTCACAGAAGACGCCGTAAAAGTCGATCAGGTTAGAGTGACTTGTAAAGTCGCGCAAAATTCTGTACTCCTCGTGGATGTGGGCGTCGTCATCCTCAAAGTGGATCTGGACTTTTACGGCTACTGCTTTGTCCGCTGCCTGGGCGTCGGTAGCTTTAAAGACCTCACCAAAAATACCAGATCCAAGCTTTTTGATAAGCTTGTACCTCCCTATAGGGCTCGGCAGCGACGTTATATTTAAACTGTCCCTCATTTTTATCTTTGCGGTACATTAATCTTTATAAGACTGCAACGGAAAAATCGTATGTGAGTTACAAATAAGGTACAATTGATATTTGAGATTTTAATAATTAGCAATGAAATGTATTTATACATGAAAGATCATCTTTTCAAGACTACTCAAATAAATACTTACACAATCGATAAAATATTATTTCCCAATAAATCTTTTATTTATAAACAAAGATTAGAACTCTCACGGTGCGCTGCCACGGCGAGACTAAACTATTGTAAATGTACCCGCAAGGACGATGTGGCGGGACACCTCACAAGTGCCTAGGGCTTCGCCGTATTAAGACCGCAGCGCTGATCCCTCGTAACTGAATTATACGGTAATATCCTACCGACCTTGTCACCCGCTTTGGGTAGCGGACATTTAATTTCGGATGTGATTAATTGAAGCGCATTTATATTCCCACTTCGGCTCGATACATTTTTTAAGCGGAAGATCTGCCGAACCTTTTAAAGTCGGACCGTTTGTAATTCGCGCCAATTGGAACATTGTCTTTTGACCTCATATCAATGTTGCAACCTCAAGGTAAGAGTCAATAGGGTTTTACTGCGCTAGCGTTGACCACGAATTTCGTTAGTACGTGTCTTTAGTGTCGTTCAGCCTCATACAGTGTAGTGTCAAAAACTTGGAAAAAAAATATCGATACGAATTTTTACATTTCTTTTACAAACTTTTAAGTTACATACAGTTTTCTTATAGTGAAATTAAAGTTTTCAATAAAACAGAAAACCAGTGACTATTTTTTAATTGTTTTTGGTACTCAGGCTTAAATTAATAGGTGAACCGAATTAACGTCAATATAATAAATAGTTCTTATATCCTATATCACAAAAGTTTAGCGTATGAAAACAAACTTAGGGCCTTTATGTGTTTTTTCCTATTGTGGTACTACTACCCCTATCGAGCTCACCGATTCTTGGAGCAGAGACTATGTAATAATTGCTCTACTACGCTGAAAAATGCGTTCCCGTTGAAAATAAGACGCATCCCTTTTTTTTAAAACATTGTCCTTGCTTTAGGATAACATTATCCTGTGTTGTAAGTACATTTTACAAACATAAATTTCAAATTTCACGCGGACAAACACCCAGATGCGAAACAACCATCTGTGGGTCACACAAATAGTTCTCCCGTGTGGGAATCGAACCCACGACCCCCGACGCCGAAGCCAATACCTTGACAACTGCGCCACGGAGTCGTCATCATCATCCTTTTATTGCGCGTGGTTGTATTTAAAAGCTTTCGGCCATTCAATGCGCCACTTCCCAATTGTAAACTATCGTACACATAGAGCATCATGAGCGAGTAGCGTGACCGAAGGTCTTAACGCGTTCTATTGCGAAACGAAATTCTCCAAAGGAAATCCGCAAAAGCAATCCGTCACGAGGGTGCTCATTCAATCATGCGCGCTTAACTCTAACTGGCGGAGCATCAATACTCCGACAGTACAATGCAAACATCCTATTCATCGCCACTTCGGATATCAGATGTGCCGTTAAAGTCACGCGAATTTTTTACGTTAAATCACAGACTCTTTGCCATTCACTGCGCAGAGACATTCGATGCGCTACGATATCGATGACATTAGTGTACTCATAGATATAGACATACAATATTTCAGCATTTTAATAATTAATAGGTATATAAATATATATAAAACATTGTCCTTACTGTTCGATAACATTGTCTTGTGTTGTAAGGATGTTTTACGTCAAAAAATCATACGAATAAATCTTCATATCCGGAAGAAATATTTGTGAGCCTTAAAATTAGGTTCTGGCCGTTGTCAGCCGTTGGAACGATTGGATCCCTAGATAATATACTGACTTGACATGCACTATGTATAATATTACAAATAATGCCGTACCCTTCTGGAATTGGGTGCGGAATACTATGTATATATATAACGTTTGCATGTAAATTATTACATTTCGATTAAAGTTCCCTTTTAATTTCTTCAAGAGCAATAAAATTTATATACATATTTTTTATTTTATGACTATACTTATATTATAAAATGGAATTATGTTTGTTGGTGTGTTGCCAGTTATTATTTATTCAATTATTGTATAGAATGGACAACATATAATATGGACCACCATACGAGTTTAAGTATAATATTGTATCAACAGCCCATCGCAGCAGTACAAAAGAGGCTCTTGAACTGAGAGGCCAAATTAACTGGAAGTAACAGGATAATTGCGTCGAAACCCATTGAGTTGTCGCTTCTGGAAAAGTAGACCCTCTTGAAAGATATTTGAAGTTATTGTGGAATATTTTTTGTACGGCTTTTTATCGAACTTCATTTGAATTATAAAACCTTTCTTAAAAACCAAATAAGTTTAAGAAAATAATCTAATTAACTTTCTGAAATATAGTATCTTTGATTTGCTCATAAAATTATTAACTTTGTTATACAATTTAAATGGGTAAACAGATACATAATTGAATAAATATATATAATCTTTTAACTTATTTATTAGATAACAAGCTATACCTGCATGGTGTACAACCATTACTCAAGGTGAAGAATGGCACCGAATCCAACAATTGTTAAATTCTAGTTATAGGTTAGGTAGGTGAGGGTAAATAGATTAGGTTTTCAAGATTTATTTATTACATTTAGTATAGTTTTAACTTTTTAGTGCTATAATTTTTTGTAATCGTTTCTTTTTTTTGTAAAAAATCTTGTCATTTTTTATTTTCAGTGATTTAATTTTAATACGTAGGTTATATAAAATATACGTAGTTCTTGTAGACGTTGCTCGTATGAGAAAACGGCTTCCAACTGAAGACGGGACTGAAAAAGGAAAACTGTTAAAAGAAAAGAAGGAGAGGAAATCTTTAAACATCAATCAAATCAGAGGCCTGACCAGCGCAAGAATAGATATTCAAAAATAAGACCACACTCCGGCAACCCCTACCATGGATTTATATAATATCAGGGACTTCAGGGACACGTTAATGCCATCCACCACCACATACATTTTTTTATCTGAGAAGATGCCAAGTGGACTGGCGGTTCACCTGATGGTAAGTGACAGTTGCAACACCGATAATTTTTTATGTGAAAGTTGCCAAACGAGCAGACGGTTCACCTGATGTTAAGTGAATACCGCCGCCCATGGACATCTGCCACACCTGAGGGTTCCAGATGCGTTGACAACCTTTTGGAAAATTGGGCTCCGGCCACCTCACTTACCAGACGAAACACGAAAGTATTATACTATATATACAACTTAGGGACCTTCAAGAAGAGAGCCTACTTCATCCTTCACTACGCATCATCGGAGAACAATAGCTTATCCAGACTTCTTGCGGCTCTGACACACAATTTTGTGTGAAGCGAAGCCTAGCAATTCGGTACTCATGATGTTACTTAAGGCCGCGGGCCCGTGCATACATGGCCAACGTGAAGGTACCGTCTGGTCTTATTCACACATTACTCCTTTGAAGTAGTTCTTGGGTACACATACAAAACTGTGCAATTTCACTACGCTTGATTCATCAGAAACCGATAAATCTGTGTTTCGCTACTAGATGGTCTTCAAGGAGTCTCTTGAAGGAACTGGACTCTTCATATCACTGTCAGGTCGTTTGGACTGACGGACGACTTTCATTAGCTGCAACTCTCAAGAAGCGTAATAACTTTGCTGACTTATATCGCTTTATTTACCATTATAACGTTAAGTAACAATAAAAATAAATGTGAATGAAAATGTTAATGAAATGAGATGGTTTAATAAAAGTGATCTTAACGATATTTACAGTTGATATTAACTTTAACAAAATGAGCACAAAGTTAGTTTAGTTATACAGCGTGTCGTTATCATCGCGACAATAAATGAACACGCATATAGGGGATAACTTTTTAAAGTTGTATTAAACATTTAAATTCTTTAAACATCAATATTTACAGAGTTATTAAATTTTCCAAAACAAAGAATTTTAGAACACCCTTACCTATAAAAGCGTAACGTAAAGTTCATTTGTAAAGGTCACAAAGCATATGAATGGGTTGAATGAATTTAAAGGAGACAAAACATACTGTTAGAAGGAGAGGCTTATAATGCGACGCTGTGGCGCGAGTTGTATAGGATGTTACAAATTTTGTTTCTTTTTTACTTAATTACTTTGTTTGAAAAATATTTTTTTTTAATTATGGATTTTGTTTAATGTTAATATTTTTTTATGATTATTGGCAAGTAGCGTTAGACGTGTGTTCATTTATTGTCGCGATGGTAAAGACACGCTGTATATTTGAATTTGGAACGTACTCTTTGAACACCATGGCTATTTTATGTAATCAGCCAGTAGTGTTTAAATGATGTAAACCTCCTTATTGTACTTTTTCAGGCAGGAAAAGAAAAACGACCCATTTTTTTGTAATGAGTATCCCAAGGTGGGTTGAAGTCAGGCAGGGGGCCGGGTATAAAAAAAACTAGCCAATACCATTCATATCATGATTCACATTATATGTCGACGCCACCTAGGTGAGGCAAGGGTAGGAGGAAGAAAAAAATTCTTTTAGTGTATTAATCTATTTTTTTAATTATAGCCGGCAGGGTAATTAACCTATTTTTACTCCGCTTTTGTATAAATAAAATAAACAATATCAATTATAAGTGTTTTATTTCCTAAACTAACTTTTTTCAGTTCAAAGAAATCTTAAACTACAATAAATAGTACGTAAATAAAGTATCAGGAATGTATAATGTAGACAATCCATATTTACAATTGGTGAGATGCTAAATTTTAACATAACATAAAGTAATACTGACCGTTGACTATTAGTAATACTATGATTAGTTATTTGTAAATAAAATATAGTGATGAGGGGAATTGTTAGCAATTTAATTTAATTATTTGTGCTCAATTGTAAAGCAGATTGAGTGATTTCTATCTAATGGGCAAAAGCATTAATACGGGTTCTTGATAATTCTAAACTATTGGAATGTTTTGAAGTATATAGATAGATTTTACTGACCAACGTATATCTATATTGTTGTAGATGTTTACGAATAGTTGTAAAATATATAGAGAAAAACGAATAGAAATATGAGAAATAATGATTTGGAATTGGTCCGAGTTTTCAAAAACAAGCTTATTTAAAAGTAAATATGAATGAGTACATAAGTTCTTAAATATATGATTGGCGATCGTGAAGTAACAAATAATTTAGACAGAAATAATATCAGTTTAATTTGAATTAACTAATCAACATAGAATTAATATCTTTTGTACCGTTAAATAGACAAATAAATCACGACAACGACAAACTTAGAATAAAAAAAATATAATGCGGGTAATATCATAGTTTTATGTGTTATTCACTTATTCTACATAAAAGAACAAGTATTTTTTTAGTAGCATAATTTCGCAATACAAAGATATAATTTTACTCTGTTATACCATTATTATTTTGTAAATATCGAAATATTTGTCTTGCATTCTCACCTGTTTATTTTTGGCCTTGGATTCCGGCAGACGACTTGACGAGATTTTGTAATAGGTATTCGTGATAATCGTATAATGTACATCAGTACTAATCATCATCCAGTGATTTGTCTGACATATGCAAAAGTTCGTTGTTGCACGATTGGGCAGGTCCGCCCGGGGCAGTACCACGACCTCACAGAACGGCGTGGAGCGGAAGTGTTATTATACTTCTGCGTTTCGTCTGGCGAGTGAGGTAGCCGGGGCCCACTATCCTACAAGGCGGCAACGCATCTGCAACCCTACGGGTGTTGCAAGTGTCATGACGGCCATGGGCGGCCGTTATCACTTAACATCGGGTGAACCACCAGCCCCCTTGCCACCTTCTCACATACTTCACACATATTTATCCGTTCAGTTTAATTTGCTTATAGAATTACATACATAGAATAGTACATCAACTCTGCTTACGTTACATAAAGAACAATCTATTACAAATTAAGCACTCTTGTAAAACATGCGTATTTACAACACTGAACAAAGTCGGTTAAAACAATGCTTAGGTAGTCGTTCAAGTTGTCCTGTTTTATAACAAGTACCTAATGTTACAAAATGATGTTACTATCTACATTTGAATCACTATTTTAATGAGTATGAATTGTTAAAACTACTGTCTACAATATCAAAATTTAATCACTATTCTACTATATACATTTGGAATGTTTTTAAATGGAATCTTAAACAAGAGTTCTGCTACTATCGGCTTGGTATTCATTTTAATTTCTTCATAACTCAGAATTGACTAGGGTAGACAATTATGAGTTAGAAAATAAATAAGTAAATAAGTGAAATCGCGAAGGACGTCTACATTGCAATACTGCAACGTAGACGTCCTTCGCGCATGCAGAATTGTATCACAAAGAAAAAGAAACATTTATTTGCACATGGCGACCCATTTGTCGTCGTGACACTTCTCGCAGTCGACCCTGCAGCACCAGTGAAATGTGCAGTTGCAGGGTTTTATGCTGGATCTGCGGATAAGGGCGTGGCCGCGTCCGCAGCAAAGCAGGTCGCAGGAACCACTGCGCGAGGTTCGCCCGATTCTGCAGATTCGTCCCGAAGTCCCCGAAGAATCCATTCGTGGGTCAGGCTCGCAGAAACTGGGTGATCTGGACAGACCAAAGTCAGTTTTATAATACAAAAAATATACTTTATTTTCAACGGTACTGTGGCGCCTAAGATGCTCCGGTCGAGAGGTTTTCAAACAGGTTATTAAATAAATTTGTTTCAAGTCTTATAAAATCGTTAAACTCCCTACACACTGAATAACTAAATGTAAATTACATTATTTAATTTCGTTTTTAAATTTCTAGTTTTATATACTTATAAAATGTATATAGGTACATATATTAAATTTATATGGACTGGAACCTACTTCACCCATAACAGTTGCATGCAACTATAACAGTTGACTTCTAGAGTAAATGTAGTTGCTGTTACATATAAAGCTATAAAATTTGAATTAAATCTTTACAATATTAGTTTCAATAACATACCAGTCTAAACCTCAAAACATGAGTATAAAAGCTTAATGCAAAGGCTTTGTCTAACTTAGCATGTCTGTTTCCTTGTAATTGCTTTATGTGCATAGTATGTTACGCAAATACGACAGATTAAGTTTTCCAACTTGGGTCTTCTTCGATTATGCTTCTATGTCTGAAACATGCACTGCAACTTAAATTATAAACATAAAACGTTAAAGTTACTTTTCGAAAAACAGCAGACTTGTCTTAGGCGCTGGCTTCGCCCGACTCCGTCTCTTCCCTCGGGGCCTACCCCTCAGCACCGACATTCCGTTATTGAGCTCTTCTTGTGCCACCAGCAGAGCCTAATAAAATATCAATTAATATAATTTGACAGATATAATGTAAAGTATAAGATGAATGGCCAATCAGGATCGATTGAACAATCAGTGGGTAATTGTATCGAAATACAAATTAAAAATCAGTAAATCTTTTGCATGATAACATGCAATCGTCGACAGTTCTTAAAAGGTATTGGATTGGATTGTAGGGGTTTTTAAATTAAACTGTGGTAGGGCCATGCAACACTCTTCACTGCTGCAAGAATAGGCAGACCGCACCGAAGACCGGCGTGAGGTGCAAGTGTTACCCTTCTGCGTTTCGTTTGGTGAGTGAGGTAGCCGGGGCTCTTCTATATTAAATGGTGGCAACACATCTGCAACCATATAGGTGTTGCAAATGTCCAGGCGGCAGTTATGGCTAAACATCCAGGTGAACTCTCAGCTCGTTGGCTACTTTCCACCATAGAAAAATATATTCTATTGCTACAAACGAAAACCCGTCACGGAATCCCGCTCACATACGTTTCATTTCCATCTCGCGTACTACGAACAGATTAAAACGTGGGCAGTTAATATAGCCTTACTTTACGATACTGCCTTTTGATCGTCGAAGCCACAACGCGAAAGTCCGGCGTGGCGCGCCAACACGTCCGCAGCTGACAGCTCCCGGAAAGTCCGTGGCACTTGCATCGGACTTCCATGTGAGATGAAAGTATCTGTGTAGGGAAAAAAGTCCATAAAGGTTTTAATCAAATAAAAATTTACCTTAATCTTTCGCTTTTAGAATTTCGTTGGACTTAGATTGGAATGTATTTTTTAATAAATCTTTTTCACTGTTCAATGGGTTATAATTGCACTCTTAACATATTGTCAGGTTTCACTTCATAGATTTACAAATTAAGAGCGAAGCAAATAAATCGCCATTGTTTTCTTTTAGTGTCATAATTATTAAGCTCTAAGGCAAGTACTTCTTTAAGGCATTTCCCCAATACCTTTGACAGTTAAAAAAAAACATGAATGCATTACATCTCTATTTTCGAAACGACGATAATCCCGAAAGGAATTTCGAGGCACATTCGGACAATCCGAAGGCCGCACCACGAACACAAAGCCGTATTGTCCTAATACGTGACCGCGTGTTCGTTCGGAACAATTACGAGATAACTCACCCACCGCGGCTAGCTCATAACATTTACATAATTAAACGCCTCGGAGCAATCAGCCTGACGTCTTAATTTCGCGGCCGCCGCGGGCGGAACAATTTCCCAAATTGAGTCGGAGCGAGGGTCCAAATAAATCGGCGCAGCGGAACGCCTACAGCGGTCCATCTCGGCTCTAATAGCATGGCATTAAGGGTGTTCGCGATAGGATTCGCCACCCAAGACGTCCGTAATGCGTCGTAATGAAGCCGGAATATTAAAAATGGCCCCGGACCGCTTATTATGTTCTCACCTCGGCGGGCGGCTCGTGAAATACGGCGGGCTAATGTGGACCCTTGGGTGCGGCCGCGAGCGCGCTGGCAACACCAGCTAGCATCGGCTGGAGCGGTGGCGCCATTTACGGCATTTTGCGGTGCCTCTATTAGTCCCGTAGCCCGTATTCGAAAATTGAATAATCCATATACCAAATTATAAAAGTTTAAATTTAGAATTTGCTGTTCCATTTCATTGATTTTCTATGTGCGATGTGAAATGGATGATCTTTGGAAGTGGTGATAAATTTTTTTGCAAGGGAAAACATGTTTCTGCTTAGAAATCTTAATGTTTGTAGAGTTGTAGTTCAAGTTGGACTTAAACATTTGCTAAAATGTTTACCGCCAATTTTAGTAGATATATGTTCATTGTAAATGTAATATATATATTAAACCATTATACCGGATATATATTAAACCAAAGCAGTTGGTTAAATATATTTTTGAAGTATTCAGAAGTAAATTGCGTTTTTCATTGGCACACATATTCGAGTAATTTTATTACATCGTTCGGAAAAGGTTTACGATATCGCAATATATTTCCTTGGTACGTTAAAATCGTCAGCGATTATTAAGAGCGATTAATTTTATTGCTCGGACAATAAACGATCAGAGTTAATTATTTCGGTCGCCTGTACACACGTGAGGAACCCGAGAGGGTTTCGGCTGCTTAATGTTTTAGCTGTCAACTGTCCGTCGTGTAAATTGCGCTCCCAGATCGAAAGCACTTATTATGCAGACAGATTTGTATATCTCTCAAAGTAATGATAGACACGTTAGCGAGCCCATTCCTTCAACACTCCAGACTAAACACCATGTCATTAGGGAACAAACATCTCAGCGGGAGCTAAACTTAGACGTAATAGCATATCGGCACAGAGCCCGTGATTATCTACGGAGGCCCAATTAATACAAGCTCCTAGCGTGTAATCATACGTGGCGTGCGATGATTATAAATAACTGCGGAGGTGACTTTGTCTGGAGGTTGTCCATTAAAATAAAATCGCTATTAATCGAATATCGGTCGCCTAACGCTCATCGTGACTATACGTTGTTTATTGTCGTGAATGGTCCGTGATATCGAAACGTATAAGGTCAGTAAGTGGAACGTTCAAATAATGTTGGGTTTGTATAAATTTAACGAAATTGTTTTTATTATTATTACCAATTGCCCATCGCCATTACGAAAGGAGGGTAATATTTTTCGACTATGCATGTATGCATTTCTTATTCTTTGACACGGACTACAGCCTAAGCCAGTTCTCGGGTTTCAACATATTATTTCAATATGGAGTTTGCGAAAAAATATGCGATAATCTGGTAAATTAATTTCACTTTATCTGAACATTATTCATAATAGCCAGCTGGGTTTCAATAACGTTTCAATTAATCGTTCACCTGAAGTTGATTACTGTTATTCTAAAATTGATGTTTGATGTCTCCATGGCGCAGTTGCTAAGAAATTGCTTCAGTGCCGGGGATCGTCACACAGATAATTGTTTCGGATTTGGTTCACGTGTTTTAATTAATATCTTATCCTTTAAACGAGCAATTCTTGTATATATATATATATATATATATATATATATCGGAATCTCGTTATTTTTGGCCTTGGATTCCGGCATCTCGAAAATCGGAATCTCGAAAACGGCTCCAGCGATTTTCATGAAATTTAGTATGTGCGTAGATTTGGGGGCGAAAAATCGATCTAGCTAGGTTTCATTTTTAGAAAATGTCCTTTTATCCCTGTTTTGTTTTTGTTTCCCTGGGAATGAAAAATATCATTCGAATATGACGGTAAATTTCGCCGCAAGAGAAAATGTCATAATCGGGCGGCCCCCAAGACGGCCGAGGTTCATGTCTTACACACTCTTTTTTTTTTTTACTTTTTTTTTTTCGATTCCAGATCATTGCTTTCTTTATTTTTAATTTTTTGTCGATAATAGCTCGGTCGGTATATTTTCTTATTATTACGGGCGGCCCCAAAACAGACGGCCGAGGTTCATGTCACGATCTTACACACTCTTTTTTTTTTTACTTTTTTTTCGATAATCGGGAACAAGGCACCAAATACGCCGTTGGTGTGGACACGGAAATCGAAACCATGATTTTAAATACTGATTTCTTGTGGAACATTTACTGGAAGGTGAGAATGAAATGCAGACTTCTAAAATTGAACCATAAAACCATAAAGACGTAGATTCTATGACACTTCAGCTTTGTTAAATATTAACTGATATGACGAGGAAAAAGTAACGTAGCGTAAAGTGTGTGATAAAGATTTTGGGTTCCTACTAAAAAATAAAAAATAAACAAAAAATTTTTTGGAAAAAACAGCAGGATAAAATGTTAGCTTTATGTTCGGCAATAAAGTTGTATTATCGGTGATATACTGAGTAGCGTGGTTAGTATCTTCGTTTCATTTTCTTATGATGTCAGTATTTTAAGTGATGTAAGTTTTAAATATGAGGCAGATTTAACGCTTGAAATTTTATGTCATTGTTCATTAAAAAAATTTTTTTATGTTAACAAACTTCCTCTACAAACTCGTGGTCCGTACTCTTATTTAATTAAACATTTAAAATGTTACCTACTACTTATATAATAAGTATTTAAATGTCTAAAGCCACGAATTTTTCAAACCACGCTTTTTTTATGTGAAACGTTGGCAAGCGAGAAAGGCAAGCGGTTCATCTGAGGTCACCGTCCATGTACATCTACAGCACCTGAGAGGTTTTTGATGCGTAGACAGTCTTTAAATAGTGGGCCCCGGTTACCTCACTTGCCAGAAGTAACGCGAAAGTATAATACTTCGTCGTGGTACATCCTTGGAGGAGCCTGCCCATTCGTGCTGCGAGGATCTACCACAGTAAATTAAAACAATAAAAAAAAAACCCAGTAAAAAAAAGACAAAAAAAAAGAAAAAATTGATCCTAAAATGTAGTATAGATATTGAGATTAAATACTTTCGCCATAATAACAATAATTAAAAATACTCGTAACTATTAAACCTAAATTTCACAAGGACTCAAACTAGATAGATAGAGTAGCTATTCACCACTCCCCAAGTTGATTTCGTATAAATTAAAAATCTGCTAATTCATATTTTTAAATTATACATTTAGGCCAATAAACATACTATTGGTGATAATGTGTCGTTATTCATGTGAAAAAAGTTTTAGACGAAAAACTATTTTAATGTAAAATAAACGGTTTAACATGCTGTACAACGTAAGAGTCGTGATAGCTCAATGCCCGGGCGGTCGGCTTTAATTTAATATACTCGAGCAACCTGAGTTCGATCCCCGGTGCCAGCACCAATGAAATTGTCAATTTTAATTGGTGAATTATCACGTGTGCAGCGGTGAAGCAAATAAAAACATCGTGAGGAAACGTGCATATCTTCGAAATAATAACAAAAAAATATTTTGAAGATATGTGAAGTCCGCTAATCCGCAATGGGGCCGCGTGGTGGACTATGCCCTGATACCCTCTATACAGAGCAAGCCTTTGCCCAGCAGTGTGACATGTATAGGCTGATACTTTACTTTACTTTTTAAACGTAAATTGAACGATTTGGAACGATTGTGTATCTTCAAAATTTAAATTTTTTTTTGGATTAATGAGAGAATGTAAAATTAAATTTAAATTTATAATTTTATATGTAATAAGTAAGTTAAATTTGTAAGATGTTGTATGCTCTAAAGGATTCACACTAGATGGCGCCAAGCATTTCTAGAAATGTTCACTTAGCTTAGTTGGTAAAGTGTCTGGGCACGAATTCAGATAACGCAGGTTCGAATCCGAAAGTTTTTGTTCATTTATCTACAAAAATTTACAATTATAAATTCTTTGCAATAATTATATGGTAAAAACAATGTCATTAATGTTTTAACAAAACTATATTTTTTAAAGATTTTTATCGAAATTGAAACCTACTGGCATCGAACCTTCTTAATTTTAAGTGGAGAACATTGATATAACATGTTAAGCTAAGTTCATTATTCATTACAAAAACAAACAAGATTAAATCCATAATTAAGAATAAATTTGGTAACATTCAGGACTTATTTAAATTTAATGAAGATATATTGCCAATACTCGGGTCAAATTTGTTGCTGTTTTAGTTTTTTTCCTCGTGTAGTAAATCATAAATCGTAAAATAAAAATCGGGTATTATTGTAATAAAATTTAATCAAAATGATATTGCAGCAAATAAATACGATTCAAGCTGTTTAAGATTGATATTAATATCAATAAATTAGCTTAAATTCACGTGTTTCACATAGCCTATTAAGTAACCTGTCAGGACCTGTCGCTTAACACTGAGCGTATAAGAATTTAATACGCAAGAAGTCCAAAATACGGGAAATCAATGGTGTACGCGCTGGAATTTTTAATAATCACTTATCACTACATAGCATAAAACTACATAGTATGAAAGTCGTCCCGCTGTCTGTCTGTCCCTATGTTTGCTTAGATCTTTAAAACTACGCAACGGATCTCGATGTGCTTTTTTTTTACTGAAGCTGGGGCGGGTCGCTAGTTACTTTATACGTGAATTATGTTTAATGATTGTCACGGATCAAGCGAACCGCAGATTGCATTCATTTACTAATCGAAGAGTGTGGATTACCCGTTAGTTGTGCTGCCGTGAATCACAGAATAATCTAGGGAACCATTAAAGTGATTCGACCAACCGCGCTAATAGGTTTTAGATGGCCATGTCTAATCCACATCACAAATTAACTATTAGTTAAAGCGCACATCGAAGCGGTCGCACGCACACGCTGAAGAGGTTTGCCGCTTTGATAATTTGTGCATACTACACCATCAATGGGTCTGACGCAATCGTAA